GGGGAGAAGATACAACCCAAGATCCCTGCACTGGAGGCCAAGATGGAGAAAATCTCTACAGCCACGATGTATTTCCCTTTGCTGCTTAAGTAGGATGGAACAAAAGAAATCCACACACTGCAAAACACCAACATGCTGAAAGTGATAAATTTGGCTTCATTAAAAGTGTCCGGCAGCTTCCGAGCAAAGAAGGCCACAACGAAGCTGACAAGAGCCAGCAACCCCATGTAACCAAGAACAAAGTAGAACATGTTGGCTGAACCTTCATTGCATTCCACAATGATTTCTTTAGGCAGAGAGTGCATGTTCAGATCTGGGAAAGGAGGATCAGTACAGAGCCATACTATACAAATACTTGCCTGAACAGAAGCACAACCAAGAACAATAGAGGTGGAAAATCTTGTCCCCACCCATTTCCTCATCTTGGATCCTGGTTTGGTGGCCATGAAAGCTAGAACCACAGTGAGGGTTTTAGCCAAAACAGAAGAAACAGCCACTGAGAAGATGATACCAAAGGCAGTTTGTCGTAGATTGCAGGCCAGTAACTGGGGGCGCCCAATGAATAGCAAGGAGCAGAGGAAGCAGAGCAGGAGGGAGATGAGCAGGGTGTAGGTGAGATTCCGGTTGTTGGCTTTGACAATGGGAGTGTTTTGATGTTTGATGAAGATTCCAAACACCAAGGCTGTAGTTGCAGAAAAAGCCAGAGCCAAAAGAGCCAAACTGATGCCTAAAGGTGTTTGATAAGATAAGAAGTTTTCTTTCTTGCTGATGCAATGGTTTCTCTCTTGGTTAGGATACCGATCTTTTTGGCACTGGAAGCAATCATCCATATCTTGCAGTATAAAGAAATCAAGATTACAGTTATAGTATTTTCAGTCTCACTGAGATACAAATCTTTATGGTCTAGGATCAGGAAACTGTACTATAATTCAGTCTAATTTACAGTATACACAATAACAATGTTATCTTTTTCAGGAAATTGTTAGAGTGTTAACATGTTTTGTCTTTAAGGTAAGCTATTTTTGGAGGATTCTTTCCAGTGGGTAATTAAATGAGAATTAAATCTAAATAATAAGCTCCATAAATATTTGTTTGTGTTTACACATGCATAGAATTGAAAGTTGGTGTGCTTAGAGGAAAAAAGTCCCCATTCTAGCAATAAGAACTTTCAAGCTATCTGGATGAACAAATTTTCATTAAGCATTAATGTTTCACAGCTTACCAGTAGAAATGGTTGTAAAATAGGAAGTTTCATTTACCAATTTTCACAGCATTTCCTGTCCCAGAAAGGAAGCCTAATATAAACTGAAGGTGCTAATATAACCTAGTTAACACACCTAGGAATATGGTCAAAAAAATACTCTTGATTTGACAATTATTGAATTTTGGTGATCAAGTAAGTTGCTGTCCATGCAATCCATGAAATTTTCAGGTGTGAAGGTAAGCAGAAGATATGCTGGTTAGCAATTTATAATATTGTTTATGATAATACACTTGTACAATGGTACCTTGGTTTAAGAACAGCCCTGATTACGAACTATTCGGTTTACGAACTCCGCTAAACTGGAAGTAGTGTCCTGGTTTGCAAACTTTACCTCGGTCTAAGAAGGGAAGCCAAATGGTGGAAGGGCACCGGCAGCCGGAGGCCTCATTAGGGAAAGCGCTCCTTGGATTAAGAACGGCTTCAGTTTAAGAACGGATTGTATTGTATTTGCATGGTAAATATAGTTCACAATGAAAAAATTGTATTGGGTAAAGAAGGAGGCAGTTAGTAATTGACTGTTGGTTGGTTATTCTGTTATTGCATCTTTTACTGAGAACGCAGGAATGTGGCGATTTCAGGGAGACACTGTCTGTAGGAGTTTTAAAGGACAGGAAAGCTATGGATTATTAGTTTATGCTCTACTATGAAGGAGTTTTTTTGGGGGGGAGAGAGAAAACCATATTTTGGGTTCAAGGGACAGAATCACATTGCATTTATTAATATATATACAGTATATACAGTATATACCGATATACAGTATATATATGAATAATACTTGTTGTTCAACTGTTGACAACCTGACAAGTAAAGATTTATCTGCAAGTCTTTTGTAAGCCGTCTATTCTATCACAAATAGCTAAAAAACAAACAGGCTCTCAGTATATTTGATATACTATAGCATACAGTCCCCTACCTGTCTGGTTTGAAATCTTCCCTTCTGGACATGGAGTACAATCATAGCAGCAAAATGGTTCCCCCTCTTTCCTTTGTCTACTGTAACCTGGATCGCAGTGGTCATTGCACAAGGCAAGGGGCACCACCTGCCCATAAAACAGAAGGTATTGCATGTATTCTATTCTCTTTGTGTTTGTTCTTTGCCTTTTCATCAACAGGCTGCTGCATTGAAATAAGGCACCCAAAGGGTTGTTTTTTTTGTAATTAATTAGCACCACTAACTTTACAATGGTTGTGACAATTACCAATATTTGTGGATATTCAACCCAATAAAGATAATACAATCATAGAGTTGTAGGAGACTCTGAGGATCATGTATCCCAACCCCCCACAATGCAGGAATATACAGCTGTCCTATAAAGGGATCAAACTTGTGACCTTGGCATTATCAGCACCTTGCTCTAAGTGGGATCATCTTAATAGATGGTCCTGGTTTTGGGCATGCCCTCAACCCGGTCCCACCAGCCTGGCGTGGGTGGAGCCATTACCCTCACACCAGGGTGGCACCACGATTACCCAGGGCTATTGCCCAATCAATTTGAGTAAGGTGGTCATTGGGGGGAGTATAAAAGCAGAAGAGCAACATGTGCCAAGCACCTGCTTCTCGCTGCCAAACACACGCCCACCCTCCCTTTAATTTAGGTGTCATCTGGCCTTGCTTTGTACTTCAGTTGGCTGTCCGTCTTGGGTAGGAATTTTTCCATTTGGCAAATTGGCACTGGCCACTTGGTTTTCCCCTGCCTCTTAGCAATCCTCACAACTGTAAGGTGGTTAGGCATTGGCTTATTGTTGAGTGGGGGAGGGGAGGTCAGCCATCGCCTGCCCCTCCATTGTCCAAGGGTATTCCGTTAAAGGAATCCAGGGTCTGGATCCTGTCCGAAGTCCGCTTCAGTGGCTAGGACCATGCCAGGCCTCTGGGAACACTGGGGGAGATGCAGGCGGGTTCCCCTGAAGCAGCTCTCCTTTGGGTGGTTTACCCTTTCAAAGGGGGCAGTCCAATATAGTCTTTTGCCAATGCCTAAGCCAATACCGCTCACATTTCCTGTAACCAATAAAGTTGTGGCCAAAATTTGCCCAAAAACCTTAAATAAAAAATCTGTGTCTGAGTGAATTTCATTATTCTAATGGGGGATTGGCTTGAGGGTCTTGACACGCAACCAACTGAGCCACTCAGCTAGTAAATGGATCAAGGAAAGAAAATGTGCAAGACAATGGACCTACTGATATGTGTTTCCCTTTTATAATATGTTTTTAAAGATGAGAAGTGGCAACTTGGTTCCTTTAAAGAAATGAATCACAGAAATGAAACTAAAGATTCCTACGAAGCACAATTTTGCATTGCATGAAGACTGTGCTTGTTGCATGTGAATGTTCTTATTCTAAAACATTTATATAATTATTGGATTTTTAATTCACATTACGCATTAATAAACAGAAATCAATGCAGCTAAAAGGAACTCCTTCCATAGGGTGTAAATGATTATCAAACAAATCTGATGAATGTCTACCTACAGACCTCAGAAGCTGCAATAGGGTCCTACCTGGTTAAAACTCTGGTGCCATGTAATGATCTTCTTATCAATAGAGAAATCACTGCCCAGTGGAGCTTGAGGATCCATCTTCCCAACTTTCACTCTTAAGAAGGACTTATTTGGGAAAGTCACCCAGTTGATAATATCAAATCCACCTTCTAGCTCACGTTTCTCATTAAAAAAGACGGTGTCACCAGCATTGTTGTTAAACAAGATATTCCTCAGGAAAGGTTGAAGCTTCATTGTAGGAAAGAGAATGGTAAATTGGGTAGAAATAGAGCACATAGCACAAAGCTTCTGTTTTCTCATGCTGGGATCAATTCACAGTATTCGTTGAAACTCCCCTTGAGTTTTTGGGGGAGACATGCCTGTTTAGATTCCATTTTTGTTACTAAGAAGCATTTTTTGCCTAGAAGAACTAGCTGCCTTCATTAAATGTTAGTAAACCTTTTTAGTCTTTTTTTTTCAATTTTGTGTGGTTTATTCTGAGCAACATGTAGAAATTAAGGAAAGATCAGCAGAACACAAATAAACAGGGATAAATTGTGAAATTTCCTAATTCCTAGCTTCCAGGACGGTGCAAATTGCATAAGTGGTTTTACTCTGCTAAAAAACGGGCTTCACAGGCTGTTTGGCCTCATATTTCTCCACACATGCTGGACAGGAGGTTTAAACTTTCATTTTAAGTTCAACATTTCCATTCAACTTTTTTCAGCACCTGCTAAAAACATTCAAACATTGCAGTATTAGCAAGACATTTGACTTTAGTTTGTCAGCATGCTTCCATTGACCTTAATACAACAAAAACTCTTGTACTGCTTATCCAATTTCACCAAACCAATGAAAGTGTGTGTTCCTTAACAAACCAGAATCAAGTACTTCAGTAGTTTTTATCACAATTGGATAGAATTATTATGGTATGTTTGAGTAGAAAAAACAAGGTTACAAGTGTGTCTGTTAACACTTTAAAAGTTTTGTTATTTTATACCAGATCTCATTGAAATTTGAACTATCTATTGATAGCATCAGAAATATATAACAAATATCCTTAGTTTCTTAAGAAACAACTTTTTATTAGCAATCCATTTCTGCAGCTTATAGTCAAGGAACCATCTGTTTGATTCTCACCTTCACTAGAAGCTCTTCTGTGCCCTTATAACATGGGTCGGCAAACTAAGGTCCGGGGCTGAATAAGGTCCACCAGGGTCATAAATGAGTCCTGTGGAGCCTGCCGCCCACACTGTACCGGTTTAGCTCCGGTTTGGTTCTGCAGAGAGGCGCTTTCCTGGGACTACATCTCCCAGCATGCTCTGAGGTTGCTCAGACTTCCGCAACGCTCGCCAATCCGAAGCCTTAGCAACCTCAGGCCACTGGCCGGTTTGAGGTGAGCCGGCGGCCAATTGCGACCCTTCCTGAGGCTCGCTGTTTCAATTGGGGCAAGGCGCAGGGCAGGGCACCATGTTGATGTCTAGCTCTGAGAAGGGAGAAGTAGAAGCAAAGGGGTGGGAAGAAGTGGGAGCAGAGAGCCTGTGAGGAGTGAGGAGAAGGAGGAGGAGGACTCCTCTGTGCTGCTTGGTGGTGGCACATGAGTGCATGGTCATGGACACCTTGGGGTAGAGGCCCTTCCTGGCTGGGTGGCTGCGGCCCCTCTGTGCAAGCTGAGACCCAGCGCTGGCAGGGTTCCCCAGCCCCAGCCCAGCCCGCACTGTCTGAATGTGGTGAGGGGAGGTTTCTCAGTCGCTCTGTCCCCGAGGAAAGAAGGAAGGATGGGAGGGAAGGCCTGTGTGTGTGCATGTGCATGGTCTGGCCCACCACAAGTTCTGAGGGACAGTGAACTGGCCCCCCGCACAGAAAAAGTTTGCTGACCCATGCCTTATAATAATAAATACATACAACTTTCCAAAGAACCAAATGAAAAAGCAGCATTCTCTGTGGATGTGGAAGCCTCCGTATGTGCTCTCCAAGATTTAATTTTATGCTTGGGCTATTCATTAAAAAAATTGATCTGCTTTCCATGCTACACATTACCTGGAAATATTGATTTTGAGGTCTCAGATAGTTACCAAGCACCATCTCTCCCTGTTTGGTTCTGGGTGCCAACATGGCATGCAAAGCATGTGCCACAGCATAGACGGCATTGTAGATGCTGTAGCTTTGGCTGGTCATTTGCATTTCAAAAAAACCTCCAGGAAGGCTCTCCAGCTTCTCCTCACCAGTGCAGGATTCCTCCTCCATTTCCACATCTAGAAACTGGCAACCAAATGCCTGTTGCCAGAAGAACCTGATAAAGCCATCGGCCTCAGAGTGGGGATTTAGGTTCAGGAGGAAATGGTGGAACCCCTTCACCTCACTGGAATGAATGGCAAAGGATAAGGCACCATGGAAGTTTTGTATATCCAGATCTTTGTGGAATACGTCCAGTGATAAATCCCAGTCGGCGGTCATAACCCACACTTTGTTTATGGGACTCGCACTCAACATTATGCCTATTAGTAGCAGCCATTGCAAACCTGTCTTGGTGTTCTTCTCTGCGTTGACAACAAATACATTGACATTCGTTTTGCCTAGGGACTCGGATATACTCCGATATTCCGCCATCATCCCCAAATCACTAAGACCCCTGTGGGTTATCAATCTGTTAGTGACAGCTATACAGATGCCATTCTGGGAAAGCTGGCGTGTCAACATTTTCACAAACTTTTCTCCTTTATCGTCAGCTGTGACAAATATCCCAACCCACTTCCACTGGAAATAAAGAAGAAGCTGAACAATGCCAGTGTATTGATGTTCTTCACTGGGGGCCATTTGGTACAAGGAAGAAATATGGTCTTTTTCACTCTCCGCTGGAGTAAATGAAGAATAGGTGATCTAGCAAAGAACAGAGGGATTTTTAATCACCAGATAGGATATTTATGTGTCAAACACATTTTTAAGTACATCATGCTTCAGCAGAGTAAATTTAAGTAATCAAACACATTTTTAGTACATCATGCTTCAGCAGAGGGAGAGATTGGGACCAGAACCATTCCATTAACGGAGATGAGAGGTCAGTTTTACTTAGGTAATCCTCATCTACTTTAGGTTTTCCATTTAAGTTGGCAATCTCAATAACTTTCTGAGTTTAAGGATTAGTTTTTGAATTTGCTTTTCCTCATCCTTGCTCCTCATTTTCCTACTTTTGCCATGTCTTATAGGCAGTAGTGGCTGGTGGAGTGGGTCCTTTGTATTCTGAGCTTAATATATATTTCCTAATAAGTTTATTTACTAGTAAACATTAATCTTTTATACTACTTTCCAATTTCCTTTAATACCAATACCCATCCAACTTTAATATCCCTCCCCATAAAGCTTCCCTGTCTCCAAACCACATTGACAGTGATGCAACCTAATGGTTTTGTCATGCCAAGTGAGGGGGAACTGGTCTGGCTTTGCCACTGAGGATCCACTGCTGGATCCCTACCTGCTGTCATAAAGATTACAATTTTGGTTTCTTCATACCATATACCCTCAGTGGCCTGCTAGGGAGTGGATCTTAATTTCTCCTAGTCATGGCATACTGAACGCTGAAAGAACAGGGTAGCTTTTGTTTTTGTAAATAAATAAATAAATAAGCAAAAAGTATTTGTTTTAGCCTTCCAAAAACATTCTTCTTTCCTTCTCCCCCTCCCAGTGCCCTGGGAATATACACTAAGGCTAAATCATATACAACAGTTGTGGAGTCTTCATTCCAGCCACACTCTTCCTACCTGTAGAATCTTATAAAGCTCCAAGATGGAGGCCATGTGGCTTGAAGTTTCAGACTCAAGGCCCCCAATGGCAGCTACCAGCTTCTTCTCCACACCACACTTGTAGTTGGGGATGGTTTTCCTATAATGAGAGATGAGGTTCAAAGTATTCTGATAAGTCATCTTTGCATCACTGTAGCTGTCATAGATCTGGAACCCCAAAGTGATGTTGGATAAAATGTTGGGGTTCTTGTTGACCTCATTCACAGCAAAGACTAAGGAAAGGACATGCTGGTAGTTCTTTGGCACTGCGCTGAAAAAATAGAGAGGTTATGCATGTGGTGGGTTTTTCTGCTTCTGTCATGCTTCTGCTGGACAGACCTCGTGTTTTGAAAGTGGATAAACACACACAAACACAGACATTGTCTCATAAGATTATAATCTGAGGACATGCAATGAAATTGAATTTTGAAAGATCCAGGGGAGACAAAAGAAAGTAAACACTTAGGTAAACTATGAAATTTATTCCCACAAGGGTTAGCAATGACTACCAACTTCTATGACTTTAAATGAAGATTTGACAGTTGTAATGAGGGATATAGCTATTAAGCACAGTGGCTAGTTCTCTCCCCACCATTGGAGGCACCATGCATTTGAATCCCAGTTTCTGGGAATAGGAGCTGAGAAGACTGCTGTAATGCTCAGGACTTGCTTGTGGGTTTCTCATGGCCATCTGGTTGGCCACTGTGAGATTACAGTGTAGGGCTACAACTCCTTGGCCGGAGTTAGAAGGACCTTTCTTACATTGGCTAGTTCTAATGCAGTCTCTGTGGAGAACAGGATGAAATGTATGACACAACTGCTGAAGGGCACGGTAGGAAAAAAGTTCAGAAGGAAAATATATGGCTGCAGATGAAATATGAATTTCAAAACATGTCAGTGCTTTGGTTTAAAAAACATTTCAGGAAATAGGTTTTAGGAAATAGTTAGGTGTGCCTTTCAACGTAAATTGAGCTAATGTTCTCCCCTATTCCTACTTATGGGCAGTCCAGGTGATGTTCCCATTTCATTAACTCTGCCTGTCCTCTCTACAGTGGTACCTCAGGTTAAGTACTTAATTCGTTCCGGAGGTCCGTTCTTAACCTGAAACAGTTCTTAACCTGAACCACCACTTTAGCTAATGGGGCTTCCTGCTGCCACCGTGTCACCGGAGCACGATTTCTGTTCTCATCCTGAAGCACAGTTCTTAACCTGAAGAACTATTTCTGGGTTAGCGGAGTCTCTAACCTGAAGGTTATGTAACCTGAGGTTCCACTGTACTACAAATCCTACTAGCCACCTACCAACACTGAGAAGACTGCTTTTTGATCATACTATCACGCTTATTATCTAATTTTTTGTTATTTACGTACATAACAAGGAGTCGTCCCCCCCAAAGGAATAAAAAATAATGTCCTTACAGATACTCATCATCAGTTGTTTCCTTTGGCTTCCCCTCGAACTCTATTGAAGTGAAGACAGGTTCAATGAATTGTGAAGTGATGCCACCAATAACAAAGTGCCCTGGCTGATAATACTGGTGTGGGGCGTGGAGGGGGTCTGTCACACAATGCAAAGCAGAACATGCCAAAAATAGAGGGAACACCATGAGTAGGACCCAGAAGGGTAAACTTAGCATTATTGAGATGAGGAGCTTCTCCTCTTAACCATAAATCACCTGATTAAGTCTACAAATGCTTATCCTCACCCAATGTCAGCATAGCAGCTCTAGTCTCTGTGTATAAATGGTAGAATAGGTGTCATTGGCAATGGGGTGGTCTTTTTAACATTCTGCTGTTTCTCTGTGGCATATGGGCTTCAAAATACCATATGGATACTGCTAGAGAAAGAATGAACTGCTGTGTGTTAGGATAATAACATGGTACACTGTCCCAGGGGGATTGCTAGGTCTGTGGCACCATGTGAAGCAGAAACATTGAACAAAATATGTTTTGCCCCCTTGAGAAGATATTATCTGTTTCACTGAAGATCAGGCAGAGCACCTGGTTTCAGGAAGATATGAATAAAAATTATAGTGGATTAGCAAGGCCGTGGGAGAAAATGGAAAGGCTGGTGTTCCATTATGTTCCAGGGAAGGGAATATTCCACAGTATAGAAAATGCCCTGCATGAAAAAGTGGTCAGGTCCAGCATCTTGACTAACAAAGGAAGGAAGAAATAGTTCACTGAGAACTTGGCCAGTGTTAACATGTGGTTGCTTCTCTGTTTTGCAAGCATGACATCTATTAGCATTGAGTACTTTGTTGCTCATTGTCTGGTTGCCAGAAAAGGCCCTCTGTCTGTTGTCTGATGCTGTAAGCACAACCAGGAACAGTGAATGAAGTAATCAACTTTATTGCTCAGTAATCAAGGAGTCACCACACACCACACCTATCGGATAAGCACGTCAGTTGCAGAAGCTAAAATTCTGTCCTCTCTCCCCCTGATTTATATCACCCCCTTGCATTTTTTTCACTGTGTCTCATCTTTCTTAATCATTCTAGCCTTTTCCCGTCCCTTCTATCCTGCGCTGGGAGTGGAGAAGGGGAAAGAGCTGAATCAGGACTGTATTGCAGAGCAGGAGACATAGCCCTCACTCCTTCTCTATCAGAACCTGCTGCTACCTCAAGCGTCTCCCCTTCACCCTCACTCTCCGCTAGTGATTCCTCCCTATTCCACCAGTCTGAACCTGGTTCAAAGTCCCCTTCACCCTCAGGTGCCGCCTGGCTGCCACTACTCTTCCTCATCCAGGCAGACCATGACACTCGCTGCGTGCAGTCTCAGGACTTACCTCAGAGCATGGCCAGGTTCAGGACAAGTCCTCTTTCTTGCCTACATGAGGGATTAAGTTTCCAGATCAAAGTGATCTGTGGGGGCAGCAGGTATAAAGGGGATGTTTATTAAAACAAGGAAAACCCATCTCAGAGCTGCATATCTTAAATAAAATGATAATGTGGTGCAGGGGAGTGTGGGCAGTCCCAGAGCACCTCAGAGTAAAGTGTGTGGCATGATAGAGGAAATGGCACATCCCCTCTTTAAGAGAACCTTTTTGGACCCAGAAGCTATGACCCAGTGACAGGAGTACCAAGGGGGGGGGGTTGGGGGCTTCCCCTGAAAATTTTCAAGGAAGGGGCAGGGCTCCCTTAACATTTAATAGCAGCCATTGTGGCGCACGGCAAAGGGCATGCTCGCGTCACCCCACTTTGCCACCGCAATTGATGGCACAAGGGCCACATGATGCCAGTATGCTGTGACCCGTGCGTAAGCCATGGGGCATCTGCATGACATGTCAACACACCCCACAGTGTGTGCAAGTGACATCAGAACACCCCACGGTATGTGTGCATGGTCTGCTGACATCACACTGCCCAGGCAATCCCAATCACAGGTGCAAGGCAGCGTTCATGCCCATTGACAAATAACCCCTTTGGGGCAAGATACTTGAGATGGTGGTGGGTGTCCAGCTCCAGGTACACTTAGAGGAGACTGAATGTCTGGATCAATTTCAGTTTGGTTTCAGGCCTGGTGACGGCAACTATACTGACTTGCTTGCCCTGGCTGATGGTATTTTCAGGAGAGAGAAGGAAGGAGTGCAACCCACCACATTGTTCTTGGTTGTCTGCCAATGTGCTCAGGCTAGTCTTTAAAACACTAAGCAACTGAGAGTGCATCTCCTTCTCCACAGACTCTCTTCAATTTTATCATCTCCTAAGAATCACCTTCTAGGTAGTTTCACCACCCTCAGACATATCAGGGTAGGTTGGTCTGGGAAAAAGTATTCTCTGTTGCGGCCCTTGGAATTCCCTCCCCACAGAGGGGGCAGTGTGGCACCATAGCTACACAGCTGGACCTGGACCTTTGACATTTGAGATATGTCTTTTCCCACCCTATTTGTAGGATTGCTATCAACCTAGATTAGTCCAGGATCACACCATCCACAAGAAAAGAACACACATTTGAGAACTATAACCTTGATCAGGTTGACCTCCTTATACATGCCCCAGGTGAATAAAGAAGGAAGGTGTGAGTATCTCCCATCCTGCTTCCATATATTTTGAAATAGACAGACAGCAGAGTAATGCAGAAGCAATGGGTAGTAAGTGTTTATTTTCAGAACTAAACCAGCTGTTTTATTATTAATATTTGAGAATGTATTGCCATGCACTCCAGCTTCCTTGGGCCGCATGTTCCAAAGAATAAACATCTGCTACTAAAATGAAACCAAATTATTTTATTTTATTTTTTAAATCACTTTTAAAGGGCAAACTATATCCAGAGATCAAAATTGTGTCTACACTATATAGGAAAAAAGAATTCCATCTCCATTGATTCAGGAATAAAATATGATGTACATGCAGCCTAAGGCATCATTCTTTAGACAAAAGTGTAGAATATTCTGAGGAACACAAAAGCATTTATAAATCTGCCGTCTCTGACAGAAGCAAAACATCATACCTTCAGGCTATAATGGGACACACTGGAAACATTTGTTATTCCTACATAAATGGAAGCAATGCCTGTTCCAGTCAACTGTGCTTACTTTGGAATTGGGTTTAGTCTGATAGATTGTTACTTATTTCTCTTTTTTAGCTGCTCTTTTGAGTTGAGCTCAGGCTTGAAGACAATGATATAACATTTTGGGGAGAAGATACAACCCAAGATTCCAGCACTGGAGGCCAAGATGGAGAAGATCTCCACAGCCACTATGTACTTCCCTTTGGTGCTTAAGTAGGATGGAACAAAAGAAAGCCACACACTGCAAAACACCAACATGCTGAAAGTGATAAATTTGGCTTCATTAAAAGTATCCGGCAGCTTCCGAGCAAAGAAAGCCACAATGAAGCTGACAAAAGCCAGCAATCCCATGTAACCAAGAACATAGTAGAACATGTTGGCTGAGCCTTCATTGCATTCCACTATGACTTCTTCAGGCAGAGAGTGCATGTCCAGATCTGGAAAAGGAGGGTCAGTACAGAGCCATACTATACAAATACTTGCCTGGATAGAAGCACAACCAAGAACAATAGAGGTTGAAACTCTTGTCCCCACCCATTTCCTCATCTTGGATCCTGGTTTGGTGGCCATGAAAGCTAGAACCACAGTGAGGGTTTTAGCCAAAACAGAAGAAACAGCCACTGAGAAGATGATACCAAAGGCAGTTTGTCGTAGATTGCAGGTCAGTAACTGGGGGCGCCCAATGAATAGCAAGGAGCAGAGGAAGCAGAGCAGGAGGGAGATGAGCAGGGTGTAGGTGAGATTCCGGTTGTTGGCTTTGACAATGGGAGTGTTTTGATGTTTGATGAAGATTCCAAACACCAAGGCTGTAGTTGCAGAAAAAGCCAGAGCCAAAAGAGCCAAACTGATGCCTAAAGGTGCTTCATAAGATAAGAAATTTTCTTTCTTGCTGATGCATTGGTTTCTCTCTTGGTTAGGATACCGATCTTCTTGGCACTGGAAGCAATCATTCATATCTTGAAGCATAAAGAAATCAGGATTACAGTTCTAGCATTTCCAGTCTCACTGAGATACAAATATTTATGCTTCAGGATCAGGAAACTTTGAATTATACTGCACTATAATTCAATATAATTTACAGCATACACGATAGAGAAAAATAACTTTTTCAGGAAATTCTTAGAGCGTTAATATGTTTTGTCTTTAAGTTAAGTTATTTTTCGGTGGATACTTTCCAGTGGATAATTAAATCAGAAATAAATCTAAATAATAATTCTCAGAGAATTTTTGTTTACTAACTCATACAAATTTTTGGTGCGTTTAGAGGGATAAAGTCCCTCTGCTACCACTAAGAACTTTCAAGCTATTTGGATTGAGAAATATTAATTAAGCTTTAATGTTTCACAGCTTACCAGTAGAAATGGTTGTAAAATAGGAAGTTTCCTTTACCAATATTCACAGCATTTCCTATCCCAGAAGGGAGACTTAACATCAATGAAGACTAACAGTGCTAATATCACCTAGTTAACACACCTAGGAATATGGTCTAAAATACTCTTGAATTGACAATTCTAGAGTTTTGGTGATTAAGTAAGTTGCTATCCATGCAATTCATACATTTTACAGGTGTGGAGGTAAGCAGAAACTATGTTGGCTGGCTGTTTATGATATTGTTTGTCAGCTTCTTCCGGGACAGCAACAACAACAGAACATTACCCTTTCCATGATCCCCATCTCTTCCTCTTGATATAGCAATTTCCATCACAGATGTTACAAATGTTAGTATTTTTATTGTATTTGCATTGTAAATATATTTCACAAAGAATAAATGGTATTGAGGAAAGAAGGAAGAAGTTTTTAGTTGGCGGCTGGCTGATTATTCTGTTAGTTGCATCTTTGACTGAGAACGTGGGAGTGTGGTGACTTCAAGCAAACACTGTCTGGAGGAGTTTCAGAGGACAGGCAAGCTATGGATTATTAGCTCATGCTCTGCTATGAAGCAGCTTTAAAAACAAAAAAGGACTAAACCATCTCTTGGGTTCAAGGGACAGAAACACATTGCATTCATTAATATATATTTACCTGTCAAGTAAAGTTTTATCTTCAAGTCTGGTGTAAGGCGTCTATTTTTTCTCAGATAGCTAACAACAAACCCTCTCTTGGGTTCAAGGGACAGAAACACAGTATAGCTATCAATATCAATATCAATATCAATATCAATATCAATATCAATGAATGAATAATACTTGTTGTTCAACTGTTGCCAACCTGACAAGTAATGATGCATCTTCATGTCTCGTGTAAGGCATCTATTCTACCACAAATAGCTAAAAAAGTTGATATACTGTACCATACAGTCCCTACAAGAATAGGAATAAGAATAAGAATATGTTATTTATACTGCACTCATCTGGCTGGGTTTCCCCAACCACTTTGGGCGGCTTTCAACAGAAGATTAAGAGAAATTGATGAGCTATGCAAAATTGGCGGCTTTCAACAGAAGATTAAGAGAAATTGATGAACTATGCAAAATTGCAAAAACTGTGAGATAAGGACTACTGTGACTTTAAAGAAGAATGGGAACTTTTTTCAAATTACTTAAGAAGACAACAAAATGAATTGGAATCCTTGGCAGGTTTTAAATAAACATACACAAATTTATTGATTGATAACATGGTAGATAGATAATATTAGGATTTATACAATTTTATAATATGCAGAGAATAACATGTGTTGAGAAATCAGTGAGAGTAGCTGAGTAAAAGTCTAGGAGGGGAAGGGAGGGTTTGATGGGGGTAGGGGAAAAGGGAAAAAGAATGAATATGATATGTTTTGATATTTTGTTATGTTGAAATTGTTAAGAAAAAACTTTAAAAAAATACATTGAAACATCAGTCATTAAAAACTTCCCGAAACAGGGCTTCCTTCAGATGTCTTCTAAATGTCACATAGTTTATTTCTTTAACATCTGATGGGAGGGCGTTCCACTACTGAGATCGGCCTCTGCCTGGTTTCCTGTAACTTCGCTTCTCACAGTGAGGGAACCACCAGAAGACCCTCAGAGCTGGACCTCAGTCTCCAGGTTGAACAAAGGGGGTGGAGACGCTCCTTCAGCTGTACTGGGTCAAGGCCATTTAGGGCTTTAAAGGTCAGCACCAACACGTTGAACTGTGCTTGGTAACGTACCTGTCTGGTTTGAAATCTTCCCTTCTGGACATGGAGTACAATCATAGCAGCAAAATGGTTCCCCCTCTTTCCTTTGTCTGCTGCAACCTGGATGGCAGTGGTCATTACACAAGGCAAGGGGCACCACCTGCCCATAAAACAGAAGGTATTGCATGTATTCTATTCTATTTGTGTTTGGTCTCTGCCTTTTCATCAACAGGCTGCTGCATTGAAATAATGCACTCGGAGGGTTTTTATTATTATTATTATTATTATTATTATTATTATTATTAATTTGCACCGGTATCTTTATAATGGTTGTTTCAATCACCAATATCTTTGCATATTCAAACCAATAAAAATATATAGAGAGTCAAAGAATTGCAGCATCGGAGGCGACTCTGGGGATCATGTATTCCAACCCCCCGCAATGCAGGAATATACAGCTGTCCTATAAAGGGATCAAACCTGTGACCTTGGCATTACCAGCACCATGCTCTAACCAGCTGAGCCACTCAGGTACTAAACAGTTCAGGCAAAGAAAATGTGCAAGCCAATGGACCTACTGATATATATTTCCTTTTAAAATACATTTATACAGATGAGAAATGGCAACTTGGTTCCTTAAAAAAAAAAGAATCACAGAATAAAAATTAAAGTTTCCTACAAAGCAAAGTTTGCTTTGCATGCTTTCTGTGCTTGTCGCATATGGATGTTCTCATTCCAAAACATTTATTTAATGATTGAGTTTTAGCTCTCATTCCACATTAAGAAAAATGACATCTCAAACATGGCAACAGCAGAAATACAGTGTGTAGGCAGAGTTGTATGGGAACCAAGGGAATGATATTAATTTACAATTCCCTGACTCCTAAAAAGTTCTTCCACGGAATTCCTACAAAGGCTCTAACCCTTTGCTGCTAGGCACACCACACCAACTACCTTCCACTGGTCAACAGAGCTTGGTTCAACTAGAGAGTCTAGGTTTTTCGACCAGTGAATGAGTTCAGAGTTGCAGGGTTTTAAACCCTGGAAACCAAGATCTCTACAGTGACATGTAAACAACCCATCCCTAACCATACAAAGAATCAATGCAGCTAAAAGGAACTCATTTGGCAGGGTGTACATGATTATGAAACAAATCTGGTGAATGTCAACCTATAGACCTCAGAAGCTGCAATTGGGTCCCACCTGGTTAAAACTCTGGTGCCATGTAATGATCTTCTCATCAATAGAGAAATCACTGCCCAGTGGAGCTTGAGGATCCATCTTCCCAACTTTCACTCTTAAGAAGGACTTATTTGGGAAAGTAACCCAGTTGATAATATCAAATCCACCTTCTAGCTCACATTTCTCATTAAAAAAGACAGTGTCCCCCGCACTGTTGTTAAGCAAGATATTCCTCAGGAAAGGTTGAAGCTACAGAGGAAGAAAGAGAACGGTAAATTGGGTAAAAATAGAGAACACACTACAAAGCTTCTGTTTTCTCATGCTGGGATCAATTCATACTATTTGTTGAAGCTCCCCTTGAGTTTTCAGGGGAGACATACCTGCCCAGATTCCATTTTAGAAACTAATTTTGTATTTCGTAATTAAGAAGCATTTTTTACCTAGAGGTAGTAGCTGCCTTCATTCAATGTAAGTAAACATTTTTACTTTTACAAATTTGCCTGCTTTATTCTGAGCAACAGGTAAAAAATGAGGAAAGATCAGCAGAACACAAATAAACAGAGATAAAATATGTAACTTGGTAATTCCTAGCTTCACAGCCTCCTTGCCATCTTTTTTCTCCCACACATGTTGGATAGGAGGTTTAAATTTTAATTTACAGATTTAATCCTCAATCCATATCCATCCACCTAAGTTCAACATTTCCATTCAACTCTTTTTAGCTCTTTTCAACTGCTAAAAACATTCAAGCATTGCAGTATTGGCAAACCATTTGACTTAAATTTGCCAGCATGCTTACATAGAATTTAATACAACAAAAGCTTTTGATCTGCTTATTGAATTTCACCAAACCAATGCAAGTTTGTATTCCTTGACAAACTATGTTAGCCGTTACCTGGAAATATTGATTTTGAGGTCTCAGATAGTTACCAAGCACCGTTTCTCCCTGTTTGGTTCTGGGTGCCAACATGGCATGCAAAGCATGTGCCACAGCATAGACGGCATTGTAGATGCTGTAGCTTTGGCTGGTCATTTGCATTTCAAAAAAAGCCCCAGGAAGGCTCTCCAGCTTCTCTTCACCAGTGCAGGATTCCTCCTCCATCTCCACATCTAGAAACTGGCAACCAAATGCCTCTTGCCAGAACAACCTGATAAAGCCATCGGCCTCAGAGTGGGGATTTAGGTTCAGGAGGAAACGGTGGAACCCCTTAACCTCACTGGAAGGAATGGCAAAGGAAAAGGCACCATGGAAGTTTTGTACATCCAGATCTTTGTGGTATGGTTCCCATGAGAAATCCCAGTCGGCGGTCATAACCCACACTTTGTTTATGGGACTCATAGTCATCATTCTACCTATCAGTAGCAGCCATTGCAAACCTGTCATGGTGTTTTTGTCTGCGTTGACAACAAATACATTGACGTTTGTTTTGCTTAGGGACTCCGCCGTATTCTGACTTTTCTCTATCAACCCAGTATTATCAAAACCCCTGTGGGTTACGATTCTCTCAGTGACAGCTATACAGATGCCATTCTGGGAAAGCTGGTGTGTCAACTTTTTCACAAACGTTTCTCCTTTATCATCAGCTGTGACAAATATCCCAACCCACTTCCACTGGAAATAGAGAAGAAGCTGAACAATGCCAGTGTATTGATGTTCTTCACTGGGGGCCATTTGGTACAAGGAAGAAATATGGTCTTTTTCACTCTCTGCTGGAGTAAATGAAGAATAGGTGATCTAGCAAAGAACAGAGGGTTTTTAAATCACCAGGTAGGATATCTGTGTGTCCTTAGGTTTCTTATTCTTGCTGAATTCAATAACTTTCTGAATTTAAGGATTACTTTTTGAATTTACTTTTGCCATGTTTTATAGGCAGTAGTGGCTGGTGGAGTGGGTCAGGGGAACTTATTTGGCCTCTTGGGACAAGAGTCTTTGTGATTTACAGGGAGGGCAAAAAGGAAGGGAGAGAGGTTTGAACAGTGCAAATGCATTGTGGTGAGTGCTGGATTGTATACATTAGGTGCATTTTCATCACACCAACCAAACTCTTCACCCCTACACCTTTCCCTCTGATTACGCCACACCAAAAATGGTGTTGGGAGACCGAGGCGTAGGAAGAAATTTCCCAGTGTGGAAAATTTCTTGTCACCCCCCCATTGATTTTTTTTTGCCTGCAAAAATGGTTTTATGTTATTTCATATTTTCTTACAAAGGAAAACGGCCAGGTAAACAGATATGTTCATGGAGGAGGATCAAGATATTAACTGATATGCATAATGATCAGCTGGCAATTACTGACATGATTTTCTACAGATAACTAATTCATTACTGCAAATGGTTGAATTCTTTGTCACATCATTTTCCTTGAGGCAGGGGCAGTGTTTAGCACAATCAGCTGGTGATTACTGACATGATTTTCTACAGATAACTATGTTATTTTTTTTAAAAAAGGAAGACTTATTTGTTTTAGCCCGCCCAAAACATTCTCCTTTCCTTCTCCCCCTCCCAATGCCCTGGGAATATACACTAAGGCTAAATCATATACAAGAGTTGTGGAGTCTTCATTCCAGCCACACTCTTCCTACCTGTAGAATCTTATAAAGCTCCAAGATGGAGGCCATGTGGCTTGACGTTTCAGAGTCAAGGCCCCCAATGGCAGCTACCAGCTTCTTCTCAACACCACACTTGTAGTTGGGGATGGTTTTCCTATGATGAGAGATGAGGTTGAAAGTATTCCGAAAAGTCATCTTTGCTTCACAGTAGCTGTCATAGATCTGGAACCCCAAAGTGATGTTGGATAAAATGTTGGGGTTCTTGTTGACCTCATTCACAGCAAAGACTAAGGAAAGGACATGCTGGTAGTTCTTTGGCACTGTGCTGAAACAATACAGAGATTATGCATGTGGTGTGTCTTCCTGCTTCTGCTGGACAGACCTCATGTTTTGAAAGTGAATAAACACACAAAGGCATTATCCCACAAGATTCAAATTTGAGGACATGCAATGAAACTGAATTTTGAAAGATCCAAGGGAGACAAAAGAAAGTAAACACTTAGGTAAACTATGAATTTATTCGCACAAGAGTTAGTGATGGCCAACAATTTATGTGGCTTTAAATGAAGATTTGACTTTTGTAATGAGGGATATAGCTATTAAGCACAGTGGCTATGTTCTCTCCCCACCATTGGAGGCACCATGCCTTTGAAGCACAGTTTCGGAGAATAGGAGCTGAGAAGACTGCTGTAATGCTCAGGACTTGCTTGTGGGTTTCTCATGGCCATCTGGTTGGCCACTGTGAGATTACAGTGTAGGGCTATATGGGCCCTTGGCTGGAGTTAGCAGGGCCTTTCTTACATTTGCTAGTTCTCAGGAAGCATGAAATGTATGACACAACTGCTGAAGAGCAGAGTAGGAAAAAAGAAGGGGAAAATATGGCTGCAGATGAAATATGAATTTCAAAGGATGTCAGTGTTTTGGTTTAAAAAACATTTCAGGAAATCTGAATTAGTTAGGTGTGCCTTTCAATGTAAATTGAGCTAATGTTCTCCCCTATTCCTACTTACGGACAGTCCAGGTGATGGTCCCATTTCATTCACTCTAGCTCAGTCTACTGATGGTCTGCCTGTCCTCTCTACTACAAATCCAACTAGCCACCTGCCAGCACTGAGGAGACTGATTTTTGACCATACTATCACGTTTATTATCAAATTTTTATTATGTACGTACATAACCAGAAGCTTTTATCCCCAAAGGAATAAAAATCATGTTCTTACACATATTCATCAGCAGGTGTTTCCTTTGGCTTTTCCTTGAAGTCTATTGAAGTGAAGACTGGTAAGAAGAACTGTGAAGTGATTCCACCAATAACAAAGTGCCCCGGCTGATAATACTGGTGTTGGACGTGGAAGAGGTCAATCACACAATGCAAAGCAGAACGTATAAAAAATAGAGGGAACAGCATGAGTAGGGTCCAGAAGGGTAAACTTAACATCTTGAGATGTGGTGGTTCTCCTCTTAAAAATAAAGTACCTGTTTCAGTCTAAAATACTTATCATCACCCAGACCTTCTGTCCTGTTGCCCTCCAGCAGCTCTAATCTATGTTTATAAATAAATGGTAGAATAGCTGTCATTGGCACTGGGGTGGTTTTTTATAAGCATTCTGCTGTTTCTCTGTGGCATATGGGCTTCAAAATACCATATGGATACTGCTTGAGAAAGAATGAATTGCTTTGTTTTAAGATAATAACATGGTACACAGCCCCAGTGGGGTTGCTTGGTCTGTGGCACCATGTGCAGCAGAAGCATTGAACAAAATATGTTTTTCCCCCTTGAAAATATCTTATCTGTTTCATTGCAGATTGGGCAGAGCACCTGGTTTCAGGAAGATCTGAATGGGTGTGAAAATAATAGTGGATTAGCCAGGCCATGGGGGGAAATGGAAAGGCTGGTGTTCCATTATGCTCCAGAGAAGGGAATGCTCCAAAGTATAGAAAATGCCTTGCATGAAAAAGTGGTCAGGTCCAGCATCTTGACTAACAAAAGAAGGAAGAAATAGTTCACTGAGAACTTGGCCAGTGTTAACATGTGGTTTTGTCGTTTTTTGCAAGTATGATGTCCATTCGCATTGAGCGCTGGCAGAAAAGGCCCTCTGTCTGTTTTCTGATACTGTAAACAGAACCAGGCACACCGATTGCAGTAATAACCTTTATTGCTCAATAATCAAGGAGTCAGCACATGGCACATCTGTCAGATAACCTTGTCAGTTGCAGAAGCTAAAGTTCTGTCCTCTCTCCCACTCATTTATACCTCTGTCCTTGCATTTTTTTCACTGTGACTCAGCTTTCTTAATTGTTCTAGCCTTTTCCCGTCCCTTCTTATCTAGCGCTGGGAGTGGAGCAGGGGAAGGAGCTGAATCAGGACTGTATTGCAGAGCAGAAGAAACAACCCCTGCTCCTTCTCTTTCAGTACCTGCTGCTACCTCAAGCCTCTCCCCTTCACCCTGCTGATGATTCCTCTTTGTCCCATCAGTCTGACCTGGTTCAAAGTCCCCTTCGCCTTCAGGTGCCTCCTGGCTGCCACCACTCTTCCTCATCCAGCCAGTCCCTGACGCTCACTGTGTGCACTATCAGGACTTACATCAGAATATGCCTGGGTTCAGGATAAGGCCTCTTCTTGCCTACATGGGGGATTAAGTTTTCAGATCAAAGTGATCTGTGGGGGCAGCAGGTATAAAGGGGATATTTATTAAAACACCCAAGGAAAACCCAGGTCAGGGCTACGTATCTTTAATAAAATGATAATGTGGTGCAGGGGAGTGTGGGCAGTCCCAGAGCAGCTCAGAGTAAAGTGTGTGGCATGATAGAGGCAATGGCACACCCACTCTTTAAGAGAACCTTTTTGGACCCAGAAGCTATGAGCCATAAACTATGACCCAGTGACAGGGGTGCTAAATGGGGGGTGGGGGCTACCCATGAAAAATTTCAAGGAAGGGGCAGGGCTCCCTCAACATTTCATGGCGACCATTGTGGCGCAAACCAAAGGCATGCTAGCATCACCCCACTTTGCCATCGTAATTGAGGGGACCCGGGCATGTCAGCATGCTGTGACTCGTGCGGAAGCCATGGGGCGTCTGCATGACATCTCAACACACCCCACAGTGTGTGTAAGTGACTTCAGGACACCCATGGCATGTACGCATGGCCTGCTGACATCACACTGCCCAGGCACCCCCGATCACAGGGCATGCCCATTGACAAATAACCCCTTTGCGGGCAAGATCTTGAGATTGTGGTGAAAGTCCTTTTCAGTCAAGGGGCAGGCCCCCTCAATGTAAACAGAGCCTTTGACAGGGATAAAAGACACAATACAACCAAGAAATATTTCACCTGTCCAGTGCCATGCATGTAGGACATAAACAGGATCACTTGCAATAAACTTGAAATTATGGAATTTGCACACCATATGAGAGAACAGCAGGGGACACGGGTGGCGCTGTGGGTTAAACCACAGAGCCTAGGACGTGCTGATCAGAAGGTCGGCAGTTCATATCCCCACGACGGGGTGAGCTCCCGTTGCTCATTCCCTGCTCCTGCCAACCTAGCAGTTCGAAAGCATGTCAAAGTGCAAGTAGATACATAGGCAAGTAGATACCGCTCTGGCGGGAAGGTAAACGGCATTTCCGTGCACTGCTCTGGTTCGCCAGAAGCGGCTTAGTCATGCTGTGACAATTTGGCTACAAAACAACTACCCGTGAGTAGGTTAATTTTGAAAAAATAAGGAGAACAAAGACGTAATTTGATACCGAAGCGGGGAGGCATAAACAGGAAGTCTGCCTTCCGTTCTTTGTAAATAGAGTAAAGCAACGAACGTGTAAGCTAAAACTTTGAAAGACGCTTGAAAAGGACTACAATTCTAACATCAAAACAAGTGATCTCCCCTTGGCTGCAGGAGAGGAGGGGGAAAGGTGTGAACTGTATTTCCCTGCAAAAAGAGAGGAAAGAAGCTAAAATCCACCGCTTAAAACCTGGGAACGGGATGCCAATGGACAATAAGAATGCTGTACTGTGAAATGCGCTGTTGGTGAATAGAGTACTTTTTGACAGCTAACTCTGCAAGGGAGATACAATGTTTCCGGCTAGCTTTTCCTGGTTTTAAAGTAACTGGAAAATAACTGAAATTGAAACTGTTGTCTATTTTGTGAATTGGGGGATTTAAAAAGGTGGTTTTTTTTTAAGGCAACAACTTCTGACTGCTACTGTGTCCCCCTAGAGGAAGCTTGAAACTATTACAATAACAACTGGGCCAGGGGAATTTTCCACTTCAAAACAAATTATGGCCGTGGGACTGACCTTGGGCTTTAACTAGAGTGTTATGGCAGATTTGCCGCAGGAAAAAACAACGAGGTCTGGTAGATCTTTCCGCCCAGACGCTGGGCTGCAGTGAAGAGCATCAACACCTTGCCCCTCTGGCCCCTCTGCACCATCAGGGGCTGCATTTGTACAACCTAAACCTAAAGGAATGGCATCCGAAGATGTTTTAGCTCAGGCATTAGGTAAAATTAATGAATCTCTGGAAAAATTAAGTAAACAAGTGGCTGAAGCATCAATCAAAATTGATCAAAATACTACAAGTATCAACAATTTGGGACAGAAGGTAAATACTAATACAGAAACTATTGAGAAACTGCTACAGGAATCTACTTTGACCCGAAAGACAGCCGAAGAAGCAAAGGAAATAGCAGTTGCTGTAGAAGAAAAGATATACACAGGCAGCTTGAAGACCACAGGTCGATACTGATTGAATTGAAGGAGAAACAAACGAATTTGAGGATCAGGGCCGTACCTGAACTTGAGAAAGACAATCTGACTGATTTTCTTATGCAGGAATTTGCAGACTTTTGGGACCCAGATTTGAAGAAGGAAGATTTTAAGATAGTGAGTGCTTTCAGGCTTGGAAGAGGAGGGAAGAAGAACAGGGTGAGAGACTGTTTGATCACCCTCCGAACAAAAGAGGAGAGAGACAAAATCTTGAGTCTGCACTTTCAGAAGACTTTGGAAATACATCAGTCAAAAGTGGAGATATTTAAAGACATTCCTAAATATCTTTTGGACCTTAGGTCCAATTATGGAGATTTTGTTGGCCTGTTGAGAAGCAACAGAATCATCTTTAGGTGGGAATCTCCCCAAGGCCTATCTTTCAGCTTCAAAGGAAGAAAGATAAAAATAAGATCAGTGGACGACAAAGAAAGATTTTTGAAAGACCACGGAGAAGACCTGCAGAAAGAATTTGGAGAAGAGTTAAGAGCACTAGATAAATTTAGAAGTGGAAGGAAAGAATATACAGAACCTAGTTGAGATTAGAAACTGTTTCCAGAGGTATTTTAAACAATTATATACACAAGGGCCACAGAAAGAAATTGATGTAGACCGATTTTTGAAAATAAATGGATTACAAAAAATCTCTCAAGAAAATAAATCAATGCTGAACTATAAAATAACTGAACAGGAGGTAGAAGGTGCCATTCAGAATATGCAATTAGGTAAATCTCCAGGACCGGATGGACTGACTTCTAGATACTACAGATCTTTAAGAGAATGGTTAGTACAACCTTTAAAGGAAGTCTGTAATGAAATAATGGATGGGAAAAGGGCACCAGAGTCGTGGAAAGAAGCGTATATTACACTTATACCGAAAACAGAGACTGAAAAGACGCAGCTTAAGAACTACCGCCCTATATCACTGCTTAATGTGGATTATAAAATCTTTGCAGACATTTTGGCTAAAAGACTAAAAAAAGTGTTAATGGAAGAGATTCATAAAGACCAAGCAGGCTTTCTCCCGGGTAGACACTTGTCTGATAACATGAGAAACATAATCAATATTTTAGAAAAATTACAAGTGAATATTAATACCAAGGCAGTTTTGATATTTGTGGACGCGGAGAAAGCTTTTGACAACATTTCTTGGAATTTTATGAAGAAGAATCTACAGTGGATGGGGGTAGGTCAAGGCTTTGGAAACGGTATAAGTGCAAGTTATTCAGAACAAAAGGCTAAATTAATTGTTAACAACGTGGTGACGGAGGAATTTAAGATAGAAAAAGGGACACGACAAGGTTGCCCAATCTCCCCATTGCTCTTTATATCGGTCCTGGAGGTCCTGTTGAACATGATTAGAAGGGACCAGTTGGTTAAAGGTATACAAGTCGGAGCTAAACAGTACAAATTGAGAGCATTAGCAGATGACTTAGTACTGACATTACAGGAGCCAGAATCTAGTACCAGAAGAGTTTTGGAACTGATTCAAGAATTTGGTCAGGTTGCAGGATTTAAACTGAATAAGTTAAAAACAAAGGTTTTAGAGAAAAATTTAACAGCGATTGAGAGAGAGAGGTTTCAGAATGAGACAGGTTTAACAGTGGTTAAGAAAGTGAAATACCTGGGGATTAACATGACAGCTAAAAATGGGAACTTATTTAAAGACAATTATGAAAAATGCTGGACTGAAGTGAAAAAAGATTTAGAAATTTGGTCAAATTTGAAGCTTTCACTGCTAGGCCGTATTGCTGCGATAAAAATGAATGTATTGCCTAGAATGTTGTTCTTGTTTCAAACACTGCAAGTTTTGAAGACTATCTTCAGAAACACTGCAAAATTAAGGAATGTTAGAGTGATGTTGGATTGAAAATAAGTGGTTTCCAGCTGTACAGGTTAAAGTTAAGGATAGATTAAGATTAAAGATTAAGATTAAAGATGTCTAAAGAAATGGAAATTTGATAATAAAAGGGAAAAATTTAAAGCTATATGACATTAAGAGTAAGGATTAGGTTTAAAAAAGTTGAAGTTATATATTTTAACATTTTATTAAATTAAAGATTGGGATAAAAAAGTGGAAAAGAAACTGCTGGACAAATAATGTGGATCGGAATACAAAAGAGGGAGGTATGAGGAAGTCCAGAAAATAAGTAATTTAAAATTGGAAATGGAAAAGAGAGTTTGTTTTTAATTGTTATGTTTTATGTTTTCATTCTTAAGTTTTGTATTTTTTTGTGTGTGTTGTTTTTCTGTTTTCTTTGTTTAAAACTTTTAATAAAAAATTATTTTTAAAAAAAACAAACAAACACTGCAAGTTTTGGACAAAATGGATTGTTTCAAGAAGTGGCAGAGAGATATTTCTAGATTTTTCTGGCAGGGCAAGAAGCCTAGAATAAAATTTAAAATACTAACGGACACAAAGGAAAGAGGTGGATTTGCCCTGCCAGACCTTAAACTTTATTATGAATCAGCAGCTTTTTGCTGGCTGAAAGAGTGGCTACTTCTTGAAAACACAGACATTTTGGATTTAGAAGGTTTTAATAATGTATTTGGATGGCATGCATATTTGTGGTATGACAAGGTCAAAGCACATAAAGCATTTAAAAATCATATTGTCAGGAAAGCATTGTTTAATGTCTGGATAAGATACAAGGACCTACTTGTATTGGTGGTTGTCACCGATGGAAGCGAAAGCTTTGAAAAAGCTCAATATGGAGGCCAAATGGCCGAAATATTGGGAAATTTTGGAACAAGAGGGAGACGGACTGAAATTGCAGAGTTTTGAAAAACTAAAAAATAAAGTGCGAGATTGGCTTCATTATTATCAGAATAATGGACAAGAAAATTGGCTTCCAGGTGGAAAAATCAAAATTGGAAACAGAACTGTTAGAACCCAAAACCAAGATTTTGTCAAAGATGTATAACTTGCTGTTGAAATAGAATACTCAGGATGAAACGGTGAAATCTGCTATGATTAAATGGGCACAAGATGTTGGACATAACATAATGATGGCTGACTGGGAACAGTTATGGACCACAGGTATGAAGTTTACGGCATGTAATGCCTTAAGAGAGAATATTATGAAAATGATATACAGGTGGTACATGACACCAGTCAAGCTTGCAAAAATCTATCATTTGCCCGATAATAAATGTTGGAAATGTAAAGAAACTGAAGGCACATTCTTTCACCTTTGGTGGACATGCCCAAGGATTAAGGCTTTCTGGGAGATGATCTATAATGAAATGAAAAAGGTATTTAAATATACCTTCCTGAAGAAACCAGAGGCCTTTCTCCTGGGCATGGTTGACCAATTGGTGCCAAGAAGGATAGAACTTTTTTATGTATGCTACAACAGCAGCAAGAATACTTATTGCAAAGTATTGGAAGACACAAGATCTACCCACCCTGGAAGAATGGCAGATGAAGGTGATGGACTATATGGAACTGGCGGAAATGACTGGCAGAATCCGAGACCAGGGAGAAGAGTTGGTGGAAGAAGATTGGAAGAAATTTAAAGACTATTTACAGAAATACTGTAAAATTAATGAATGTTAGAATGATGTCAGAATGAAGTTACGTGGTTTTAGCAGCAATATTACAAAGGAGTATGTAAAAATGGATTGTTAACAGGTGAGAATCTAAAGTTACAATATATCAAGTTAAAGGATTAGGATAAAAACAAAGAGGGAAAGGATTTGCTGAATTAGCTAACTGGATTGGAATACAAAAAAGGGAGGTATGAGGAGGTCAGGGAAACAAGTAAATGAAAGACAAGACATGGAAAGACTGATTTGTTTTTAAGTGCTTTTTCTTTTCTATATTTTGTATTTTTTCTTTTTTTTCTTTTCTTTCTCCTATTTTTGTAACCTTTTTTTGAAACTTCAATAAATATCATTTTCAAAAAAAAAAAAAAAAGAATACACGGAGGAACTATTCCAGAAAGATATGGCTGTCTCGTACACCCCAGGTAGTGTGGTTGCTGACCTTGAGCCAGACATCCTGGAGAGTGAAGTCAAATGGGCCTTAGAAAGCACTGCTAATAACAAGGCCAGTGGAAGTGATGGTATTCCAGCTGAACTATTTAAAATTTTAATAGATGATGCTGTTAAGGTGCTACACTCAATATGCCAGCAAGTTTGGAAAACTCAGCAGTGGCCAGAGGATTGGAGAAGATCAGTCTACATCCCAATCCCAAAGAAGGGCAGTGCCAAAGAATGCTCCAACTACTGCACAATTGCACTCAATTCACACGCTAGCAAGGTTATGCTTAAAATTCTACAAGGCAGGTTTAAGCAGTATGTGGACCGAGAACTCCCAGAAGTGCAAGCTGGATTTCGAAGGGGCAGAGGAACCAGAGACCAAATTGCAAACATGCGCTGGATTATGGAGAAAGCTAGAGAGTTCCAGAAAGACATCTACTTCTGCTTCATTGACTAAGCAAAAGCCTTTGACTATGTCGACCACAGCAAACTATGGCAAGTTCTTAAAGAAATGGGAGTGCCTGATCACCTCATCTGTCTCCTGAGAAATCTCTATGTGGGACAAGAAGCTACAGTTAGAACTGGATATGGAACAACTGATTGGTTCAAAATTGGGAAAGGAGTACGGCAAGGCTGTATATTGTCTCCCTGCTTATTTAACTTATATGCAGAATTCATCATGCGAAAGGCTGGGCTGGATGAATCCCAAGCTGGAATTAAGATCGCCGGAAGAAATATCAACAACCTCAGATATACAGATGACACAACCTTGATGTCAGAAAGTGCGGAGGAATTAAAGAACCTTTTAATGAGGGTGAAAGAGGAGAGCGCAAAATATGGTCTGAAGCTCAACATCAAAAAAACGAAGATCATGGCCACTGGTGCCATCACCTCCTGGCAAATAGAAGGGGAAGAAATGGAGGCAGTGAGAGATTTTACTTTCTTGGGATCTATGATCACTGCAGATGGTGACAGCAGTCACAAAATTAAAAGACGCCTGCTCCTTGGGAGAAAGGCAATGGCAAACCAAGACAGAATCTTAAAAAGCAGAGACATCACCTTGCGAACAAAGGTCCGTATAGTAAAAGCTATGGTTTTCCTAGTAGTGATGTATGGAAGTGAGTAAGTAGTGCTTAAGTAGGATGGAACAAAAGTGCTTAAGTAGGATGGAACAAAAGAAAGCCACACACTGCAAAACACCAACATGCTGAAAGTGATAAATTTGGCTTCATTAAAAGTGTCCGGCAGCTTCCGAGCAAAGAAAGCCACAATGAAGCTGACAAGAGCCAGCAACCGCATGTAACCAAGAACAGAGTAGAACATGTTGGCTGAGCCTTCATTGCATTCCACTATGACTTCTTCAGGCAGAGAGTGCATGTCCAGATCTGGAAAAGGAGGGTCAGTACAGAGCCATACTATAGAAGTACTTGCCTGGATAGAAACACAACCAAGAACAATAGAGGTTGAAAATCTTTTCCCCACCCATTTCCTCATCTTGGATCCTGGTTTGGTGGCCATGAAAGCCAGAACCACAGTAAGGGTTTTAGCCAAAACAGAAGAAACAGCCACTGAGAAGATGATACCAAAGGCAGTTTGTCGTAGATTGCAGGTTAGCAACTGGCGGCGCCCAATGAATAGCAAGGAGCAGAGGAAGCAGAGCAGGAGGGAGATGAGCAGGGTGTAGGTGAGATTCCAGTTGTTGGCTTTGACAATGGGAGTGTTTTGATGTTTGATGAAGATTCCAAACACCAAGGCTGTAGTTGCAGAAAAAGCCAGAGCCAAAAGAGCCAAACTGATGCCTAAAGGTGCTTCATAAGATAGGAAGTTTTCTTTCTTGCTGATGCACTGGTTTCTCTCTTGGTTAGGATACCGAACTTCTTGGCACTGGAAGCAGTCATCCATATCTTGAAGCATAAAGAAATCAGGATTACAGTTCTAGCCGCTCCAGTCTCACTGAGATACAAATATTTATGCTTTAGGATCAGGAAACTTTGAATGTCACTGTACTATAATTCAATGTAATTCACAGTATACATGATACAAAACATTATCTTTTTCAGGAAATTGTTAGAGTGTTAACATGTTTTGTCTTTAAGGTAAGCTATTTTTGTAAGATTCTTTCCAGTGGATAATTAAATGAGAATTAAATCTAAATGATAAGCTCCATAAATGTATGTTTGTGTTTACACGTGCGTAGAATTGGAATTTGGGTGTGTTCAGAGGGGAGAAATCCCTAGTCCATCAATAAGAACTTTCAAAGCTATCTGAATGGAGAAATAATAAACATTAATGTTTCACAGTTTACCAGTATAAATGGTTGTAAAATAGGAAGTTTCATTTACCAATATTCAGAGTATTTCCTATCCCAGAAGGGAAGCTTAATGTCAAAGGAAGACTAAAGGTGCTGATATAATCCAGTTAACACACCTAGGAATATTGTCAAAAAAATACTGTTGAATTGAAAATTCCAGAATTTAGGTGATCAAGTAAGTTGGTGTCCATGCAATCCATAAGATTTTCAGGTGTGGAGGTAAGCAGAAGATATGCTGGTTATCAATTTACAATATTGTTTATGATAAAACACTTGTACAGTGGTACCTCGGTTTAAGAACAGTAAATATATTTCACAAAGAATAAATGGTATTGGGGAAAGATGGAGGCAGTTGGTAGTTGAAGGCTGGTTGATTCTTCTGTTAGTTGCATCTTTCATTGAGAGTGTGGGAGTTTGGTGACTTCAAGCAGACATTGTCTGGAGGGGTTTTTGAGGACAGGCAAGATTTGGATTATTAGCTTATGCTCTGCTACGAAGGAGCTTTGAAAACAAAAAGGACTAAACCCTCTCTTGGGCTCAAGGGACAGAAGCACATTCACATATATATTGTTGTTCTACTGTTGACAACCAGACAAGTAAAGGTTTATCTTCATGTCTTTTGTAAGGCGTCTATTTTTTCACAAATAGCTAACAAAAAAACATCTTCTCAATATAGTTGATATACTATAACATACAGTCCCCTACCTGTCTGGCTTGAAATCTTCCCTTCTGGAGATGGAGTACAATCATAGCAGCAAAATGGTTCTCCCTCTTTCCTTTGTCTGCTGTAACCTGGATGGCAGTGGTCATTACACAAGGCAAGGGGCACCACCTGCCCATAAAACAGAAGATATTGCATGTATTCTATTCTATTTGTGTTTGTTCTTTGCCTTTTCATCAACAGACTGCTGCATTGAAATAAGGCACCCAGAGGTTTTTTTAAAAATATTAATTAATAAGCGCCACTAACTTTACAATGGTTGTGACAATCACCAATATTTATGCATATTCAACCAAATAAAGAGAATAGAATCATAAAGTTGGAGGCGACTCTGGGGATCATGTATTCCAAACCCCCCCCCCCCCACAATGCAGGAATATACAGCTGTCCCATAAATGGATCAAACCTGTGACGTTGGCATTATCAGCACCTTGCTCTAACCAACTGAGCCACTCAGCTAGTAAATGGCTCGGGGTAAGAAAATGTGAATATCTACTGATATGAATTTCCCTTTTATAATATGTTTTTAAAGTTGAGAAGTGGCAACTTGGTTCCTTTAAAGAAATGAATCACAGAAATGAAACTAAAGATTCCTACGAAGCACAATTTTGCATTGCATGTTTCTGTGCTTGTTGCATGTGGATGTTCTCATTATAAAACATTTATTTTATTATTGGATTATTATTTTACAATCCACCTTAATAAAAATGAAATCTCAAACATGGCAACAGCAGAAATACAGTGCGTAGGCAGAGGTGTATGGGAGCCAAAGAACACACCAAAAATTAATTATATTTTTTATTAATTTATAATTCCCTGACACCTAAAAAGTTCTTCCACAGAATGACTACAAAGGCTCTAACCCTTTGCTGCTAGCCAAACTACACCAACACCCCTACCACTGGTCAACAAATCTTGGTTCAACTAAATAGTCTAGGCATTTCAAATGGTGTTTCAGAGAAGAGCTGCACGGTTTTAAACCCTGAAAGCCAAGATCACTACAGTGACATGTAAACAACCCATCCCTAACCATACAAAGAATCAATGCAACTAAAAGTAACTCATTCAGCAAGCTGTACATGATTATGAAACAAATCTGGTGAATGTCTACCTATAGACCTCAGAAGCTGCAATTGGGTCCTACCTAGTTAAAACTCAGGTGCCATGTAATGATCTTCTCATCAATGGAGAAATCACTGCCCAGTGGTGCTTGGGGATCCATCTTCCCAACTTTCACTCTTAAGAAGGACTTATTTGGGAAAGTCACCCAGTTGATAATATCAAATCCACCTTCTAGCTCACGTTTCTCATTAAAAAAGACAGTGCCCCCCGCAATGTTGTTAAGCAAGATATTCCTCAGGAAAGGCTGAAGCTACAGAGGAAGGAAGAGAACGGTAGATTTGGTAAAAATAGAGAATACACTAAAAAACTTCTTTTTTCTCTTGCTGGGATCAATTCATACTATTTGTTGAAGCTCCCCTTGAGTTTTCAGGGGAGACATACCTGCCCAGATTCCATTTTAGAAACTAATTTTGTATTTTGTAATTAAAAAGCAGTTTTTACCTAGATGTAGTAGCTGCCTTCATTCAATGTAAGTAAACATTTTTACTTTTACAAATTTGCCTGGTTTATTCTTAGCAACAGGTAGAAAGTGAGGAAAGATCAGCAGAACACAAATAAACAGGGATAAAATGTGTAATTTCATAATTCCTAGCTTCACAGCCTCCTTGCCATCTTTTTTCTCCCACACATGTTGGATAGGAGGTTTAAATTCTAATTTACAGATTTAATCCTCAATCCATATCCATCCAACCTAATTCAACATTTCCATTCAACTCTTTTCAGCTGTTTTCAACTGCTAAAAACTTTCAAGTATTGCAGTATTGGCAAACCATTTGACTTAAATGTGACAAACTATGTTAGACATTACCTGGAAATGCGGCTTTTGAGGTCTCAGATCGTTACCAAACACCATCTCTCCCTGTTTGGTTCTGGGTGCCAACATGGCATGCAAAGCATGTGCCACAGCATAGACGGCATTGTAGATGCTGTAGCTTTGGCTGGTCATTTGCATTTCAAAAAAAGCCCCAGGAAGCCTCTCCAGCTTCTCCTCACCAGTGCAGGATTCCCCCTCCATCTCCACATCTAGAAACTGGCAACCAAATGCCTGTTGCCAGAAGAACCTGATAAAGCCATCGGCCTCAGAGTGGGGATTTAGGTTGAGGAGGAAACGGTGGAACCCCTTCACCTCACTGGAAGGAATGGCAAAGGAAAAGGCACCATGGAAGTTTTGTATATCCAGATCTTTGTGGTATACTTCCAATGACAAATCCCAGTCAGCGGTCATAACCCACACTTTGTTTATGGGACTCATACTCATCTCTCTACCTATCAGTAGCAGCCATTGCAAACCTGTCTTGCTGCTTTTGTCTGCATTGACAACAAATACATTGACGTTTGTTTTGCTTAGGGACTCGGCCGTATTCTGACATTTCTCTATCAACCCAGTAACATCTAAACCACTGTGGTTTACCACTCTTTCAGTGACAGCTACACATATGCCATTCTGGGAAAGCTGGTGTGTCAACATTTTCACAAACGTTTCTCCTTTATCATCAGCTGTGACAAATATCCCAACCCACTTCCACTGGAAATAGAGAAGAAGCTGAACAATGCCAGTGTATTGATGTTCTTCACTGGGGGCCATATGGTACAAGGAAGAAATATGGTCTTTTTCACTCACCTCTGGAGTAAATGAAGAATAGGTGATGTAGCAAAGAACAGAGGGTTTTTAAATCATGAGGTAGGATATCTGTGAGTCTTCAGGTTTTTTATTCAAGCTGAGTTCAATAACTTTCTGAGTTTAAGGATTACTTTTTGAATCTGCTTTTCCACATCCCAGCTCCTCGTTTTCCTACTTTTGCCATGTCTTATAGGCAGTAGTGGCTGGTGGAGTGGGTCAGGGGAACTTATTTGGCCTTTTGAGACAAGAGTCTTTGTGATGTACAGGGAGGGCAAAAAGGAAGCGATAAAGGTTGGAATAGTGCAAATACATCATGGTGAGTGCTGGATTGGATACATTAGGTGCATTTTCATCACACCACTGAGCTGCTCCTCCTGGCGCCACACACAGGAAAACCGGGTGGCAGCACTGCCATTGAACCGCGAGCTTTACTTTCGGGGGTAGCAGAGGATTTTAGGAGGGGGACTGGGGCCTGAAGGGGGTGCGCAAAACAGGCCACAGCTTTGGCAAGCTTTCACATACATAGGAAAACGGCCAGGTAAACAGATATGTTCATGGAGGAGGGTCAAGATATTAACTGATATGCATCATAATCAGCTGGCAATTACTGACATGATTTTCTACAGATAACTATGTTATTTGAAAAAATAAAAATACGTAAGACTTATTTGTTTTAGCCTGCCAAAAAGAAGTCTCCTTTCCTTCTCCCCCTCCCAATGCCCTAAGGCTAAATCATATACAAGAGTTGTGGAGTCTTCATGCCAGCCACACTCTTCCTACCTGTAGAATCTTATAAAGCTCCAAGATGGAGGCCATGTGGCTTGAAGTTTGAAAGTCAAGGCCCCCAATGGCAGCTACCAGCTTCTTCTCAACACCACACTTGTAGTTGGGGATGGTTTTCCTATGATGAGAGATGAGGTTCAAAGTATTCTGATAAGTCATCTTTGCATCACAGTAGCTGTCATAGATCTGGAACCCCAAAGTGATGTTTGGAACCCCAAAAGATGTTGGGGTTCTCGTTGACCTCATTCACTGCAAATACGAAGGAAAGGACATGCTGGTATTTCTTTGGCAATGCGCTGAAACAATAGAGGAATTATGCATGTGGTGGATCTTTCTGCTTCTGCTGGACAGACCTCATGTTTTGAAAGTGGATAAACACACAAAGACACTATCCCACAAGATTCAAATTTGAGGACATGCAATGAAACTGAATTTTGAAAGATCCAGGGGAGACAAAAGAAAGTAAACACTTAGGTAAACTCTGAAATTTATTCCCACAAGGGTTAGCGATGGCTACCAACTTATATGACTTTAAATGAAGATTTGAATGTTGTAATGAGGGATATAGCTATTAAGCACAGTGGCTATGTTCTCTCCCCACCATTGGAGGCACCATGCCTTTGAATCCCAGTTTCTGGGAATAGGAGCTGAGAAGACTGCTGTAATGCTCAGGACTTGCTTGTGGGTTTCTCATGGCCATCCGGTTGACTACTGTGAGATCACAGTGTAGGGCTATATAGGCCTTTGGCCAGACCCAGCAGAGTCTTTCTTACATTTGCTGGTTCTTATGACCTCTTTGTGGAGAACAGAATGAAATGTATGACACAACTGCTGAAGGGCAGAGTTTTCAAAACATTTCAGGAAATAGTTAATTTTTAGGAAATAGTAACGTGTGCCTTTCAATGTAAATTGAGCTAATGTTCTCCCCTATTCCTACTTATGGACAGTCCAGGTGATGGTCCCATGTCATTAACTCTAGCTTAATCTATTGATGGTCTGCCTGTCCTCTCTACAGTGGTACCTCAGGTTAAGTACTTAATTCGTTCTGGAGGTCCGTTCTTAACCTGAAACTGTTCTTAACCCGAAGCACCACTTTAGCTAATGGGGCCTCCTGCTGTCGCCGCGTTGCCAGAGCACGATTTCTGTACTTATCCTGAAGCAAAGTTCTTAACCTGAAGCACTGAAGGGTTAGCGGAGTCTGTAACCTGAAGCGTGTATGTACCTGACGTACCACTGTACTACAAATCCTACTAGCCAGCTACCAACACTGAGGAGACTGCTTTTTGATCAAATATCACGCTTATTATCTAATTTTTATTATTTACGTACATAACAAGGAGTCGTCCCCCCCAAAGGAATAAAAATAATGTCCTTACAGATATTTATCATCAGTTGTTTCCTTTGGCTTCCCCTCGAACTCTATTGAAGTGAAGACAGGTTCAATGAATTGTGAAGTGATGCCACCAATAACAAAGTGCCCTGGCTGATAATACTGGTGTGGGGCGTGGAGGGGGTCTGTCACACAATGCAAAGCAGAACATGCCAAAAATAGAGGGAACACCATGAGTAGGACCCAGAAGGGTAAACTTAGCATTATTGAGATGAGGAACGTCTCCTCCTAACCATAAATCACCTGTTTAAGTCTAAAATGCTTATCCTCACCCAATGTCAGCATAGCAGCTCTAGTCTCTGTGTATAAATGGTAGAATAGCTGTCACTGGCACTGGGGTGGTCTTTTTAACATTCTGCTGTTTCTCTGTGGCATATGGGCTTCAAAATACCATATGGATACTGCTTGAGAAAGAATGAATTGCTGTGTGTTAAAATAATAACATGGTACACAGTCCCAGTGGGGTTGCTAGGTCTGTGGCACAATGTGCAGCAGAAGCATTGAAAAAAATATGTTTTGCCCCCTTGAGAAGGTATTATCTGTTGCACTGAAGATCAGGCAGAAAATCTGGTTTCAGGAAGATATGAATGAAATAATAGTGGATTGCCATGCCATGGGAGAAAATGGAAAGGCTGGTGTTCCATTATGATCCAGAGAAGGGAATGTTCCACAGTATAGAAAATGCCTTGGAAGGAAGGAAATAGTTCACTGAGAACTTGGCTACTGTTAACATGTGGTTGCTTTTCTGTTTTGTAAACATGATGTCCATTGAGCACTTTGTTGCTCGCTGTCTGGTTGCCCTCTGTCTTCTGTCTAATGCTCTAAGCAGAACCAGGAACAGTGAATGAAGTAATAACCTTTATTGCTCAATAATCAAGGAGTCAGCACACGGCACACCTATCAGATAAGCACATCAGTTGCGGAAGCTAAAATTCTCTTCTCTCTCCCCCTTATTTATACCACCCCTTGCATTTTTTTCACTGTGACTCAGCTGTCTTAATCATTCTAGCCTTTTCCCATCCCTCCTTTTGAGGCATCTGATCAAGGCCTGTATTTTAAAATGAGCTTAAAGATATATTTGCAAATGTTTGTATGTTTCATGCCAGGCAGAAACCAGCTGGCTAAGTACTTTGGCAGTTGTTTATCTCCCTGCTCTCCTGAACAAGGGCCCCCCTGATTTATAGCAGTAGCAGGAGACAAGTTTCTCAAAGTTGTAAAAGGGAATTACAGGCTGGGAGCAAAGGTTATACTGACCCTACATATTAAAGAATACAATCAAGCTGCAAAAACACTAATTAAGAGTTGGTAAATAGTAAGATTTATTGTTGAACAGAAAATAATACCATGTGCCTCCCATCAGACTCTAGCCATATTTTCCTAAGGTTTAAAGTATACTGAGAGAGTTAAAGGGCAATAAATTTTGGGAAGAGCTAATGGGAAAAGCAGCTGGCTGGGAAAGGGGGGGTGTAAACTGAAGAGGCTTCTTTGAAGCTGTTTTTACTGAGTTCCTTTTTACTTTGAAAAGGCCTTTTCTTCTAAAAAGCTATCTATGTTATGTATGAGATTTGTTGGCTTAATGTAATTATGCAAAGGATTTAGAAAGTAGGAAATGTTAGATTCTTATGTTAGACTCTTATTTCATTGATGGTGTGTCAGAATGTGAACCCAAGATCTCTGTTTAGACAGAATTTAATACCATGAGCCATTTGTTTTAGCCATTTGTTTTGGAATGCAGGGGCAACAGGGGCAAAAGGTGACCTGGTAGTTAAGGAGCTTTGTCGAGGCAAATGTAAGATATATGGCTACTTGTCTGCCATTTATGGATAGAAGGAAATATAGCTCTTTGTCTCCCATAAAAGGTAATAGGAAATGGGTGTATCTTTTATGATTGGTTCTAGCAAACAGCCAATAGGAATTTCAACCAGGCTGACTGGACAGAGGCAGCCAAAGGAGGAGCAAGGGGGCTGGGCTGAGGAAATATAAGTGCTGGCCATCAGGGCTGGAGGGCAGAGCTTTGGTAACCATATACCACTGTGCCTATCATTTATTTGTCTGACAAATAAATTATTATTTTAATTTCTCTATTGCTGCGTTGAATATTTCATTCCAGCTAAGCGTTAACCACAAGCAGGGTGCTACACTTTCCTGCGCTGGGAGTGGAGCAGGGGAAGGAGCTGAATCAGGACTGTATTGCAGAGCAGAAGACACAGTCCTCGCTCCTTCTCTTTCAGCACCTGCTGCTACCTCAAGCCTCTCCCCTTTACCCTCACTCTCTGCTGGTGATTCCTCTCTGTCCCACCAGTCTGAACCTGGTTCAAAGTCCCCTTCACCCTCAGGTGCCTCCTGGCTGCCACTACTCTTCCTCATCCAGCCAGACCATGACACTCGCTGTGTGCACTATCAGGACTTACCTCAGAGGATTCCTGGGTTCAGGATAAGGCCTCTTTCTTGCCTACATGAGGGATTAAGTTTTCAGATCAAAGTGATCTGTGGTGGCAGCAGGTATAAAGGAGACGTTTATTAAAACACCCAAGGAAAACCCATCTCAGAGCTGCATATCTTAAATAAAATGAAAATGTGGTACAGGAGCTTGGGCAGTCCCAGAGCACCTCAGAGTAAAGTGTGTGGCATGATAGAGGCAATGGCACATCCCTCTTAAGGGAACCTTTTGGAGCCTGAAGCTATGACCCAGAAGCTACGAGCCATAAACTATGACCTAGTGACAGGAGTACCAAGGGGGTTGGGGGCTTCCTTGAAAATTTTCAAGGAAGGGGCAGGGCTCCCTTAACATTTAATAGCAGCCATTGTAGCGCAGGCCAAAGGGCATGCTTGTGTCACCCCACTTTGCCATCGCAATTGAGGGGGCACGGGCCACATGATGTCAGCATTCTGTGACGCATGTGGAAGCCATGGGTCATCTGCATGATATGTCAACACACCCCACAGTTTGTGCAAGTGACATCAGAACACCCCATGGCATGTGTGCAACTATACTGACTTGCTTGCCCTGGCTGGTGATATTTTCGGGACAGAGAAGGAAGGAGTGCAACCCACCACATTGTTCTTGGTTGTCTGTTTGTTCTGCAAATGTGCTCAGGCTAGTCTTTAAAACCCTAAACAACTGAGAGTGCATCTCCTTCTCTACAGACTCTCTTCAATTTTATCATCTCCTAAGAATCACCTTCTTGGTAGTTTCACTGACCTCAGACATATCAGGGTAGGTCTGGGAAAAAGGATTCTCTGTTGCGGCCCTTGGAATTCCCTCCCACAGAGGGGGCAGTGTGGCACCATAGCTACACAGCTTGACCTTTGACATTTGAGATATGTCTTTTCCCACCCTATTTGTGGGATTGCTATCAACCTAGATTAGTCCAGGATCCCACCATTCACAAGAAAAGAACACACATTTGAGAACTATAACCCTGATCAGGTTGACCTCCTTATACATGCCCCAGGTGAATAAAGAAGGAAGGTGTGAGTACATCTCCCATTGCTGGAATTACATTCTGCTGCTTCCATATATTTTCAAATGGACACACAGCAGAGTAATGCAGAAGCAATGAGTAGTAAGTGGAATTCCTTGGGCAATTCCACATGTTCCAATGAATAAACATCTGCTACTAAAATGAAACCAAATTATTTTATTTTATTTTTTAAATCACTTTTAAAGGGCAAACTATATCCAGAGATCAAAATTGTGTCTACACTATATAAGGGAAAAAATATTCCATCCCCATTGATTCTGGAATAAAATATGATGTACATGCAGCCTAAGGCATCATTCTTTAGACAAAAGTGTAGAATATTCTGAGGAACACAAGAGCATTTATAAATCTGCCGTCACTGACAGAAGCAAAACATCATACCTTCAGGCTATAATGGAACACATTGGAAACATTTGGTATTCCTACATAAATGGAAGCAACGCCTGTTCCAGTCAACTGTGCTTACTTTGGAATTGGGTTTCGTCTGATAGATTGTTACTTATTTCTCTTTTTTAGCTGCTCTTTTGAGTTGAGTTCAGGCTTGAAGACAATGATATAACATTTTGGGGAGAAGATACAACCCAAGATTCCAGCACTGGAGGCCAAGATGGAGAAGATCTCCACAGCCACTATGTATTTCCCTTTGGTGCTTAAGTAGGTTGGAACAAAAGAAAGCCACACACTGCAAAACACCAACATGCTGAAAGTGATATATTTGGCTTCATTAAATGTGTCTGGCAGCTTCCGAGCAAAGAAAGCCACAATGAAGCTGACAAGAGCCAGCAATCCCATGTAACCAAGAACATAGTAGAACATGTTGGCTGAGCCTTCATTGCATTCCACTATGATTTCTTCAGGCAGAGAGTGCATGTCCAAATCTGGAAAAGGAGGGTCAGTACAGAGCCATACTATACAAATACCTGCCTGGACAGAAGCACAACCAAGAACAATAGAGGTGGAAAATCTTTTCCCCACCCATTTCCTCATCTTAGATCCTGGTTTGGTGGCCATGAAAGCCAGAACCACAGTGAGGGTTTTAGCCAAAACGGAAGAAACAGCCACTGAGAAGATGATACCAAAGGCAGTTTGTCGTAGATTGCAGGTCAGTAACTGGGGGCGCCCAATGAATAGCAAGGAGCAGAGGAAGCAGAGCAGGAGGGAGATGAGCAGAGTGTAGGTGAGATTCCGGTTGTTGGCTTTGACAATGGGAGTGTTTTGATGTTTGATGACGATTCCAAACACCAAAGCTGTAGTTGCAGAAAAAGCCAGAGCCAAAAGAGCCAAACTGGTGCCTAAAGGTGCTTCATAAGATAGGAAGTTTTCTTTCTTGCTGATGCACTGGTTTCTCTCTTGGTTAGGATACCGATCTTCTTGGCACTGGAAGCAGTCATCCATATCTTGCAGTATAAAGAAATCAGGATTACAGTTCTAGCATTTCCAGTCTCATTGAGATACAAATATTTATGCTTTAGGATCAGGAAACTTTGAATTTTACTGTACTATAATTCAATATAATTTACAGCATACACAATAGAGAAAAATATCTTTTTCAGGAAATTCTTAGAGTGTTAATATGTTTTGTCTTTAAGTTAAGTTATTTTTTGGTGGATACTTTCCAGTGGATAATTAAATCAGAAATAAATCTAAATAATAATTCTCAGAGAATTTTTGTTTACTAACTCATACAAATTTTTGGTGCGTTTAGAGGGATAAACTCCCTCTGCTAGCACTAAGAACTTTCAAGCTATTTGGATTGAGAAATATTAATTAAGCTTTAATGTTTCACAGCTTACCAGTAGAAATGGTTGTAAAATAGGAAGTTTCCTTTACCAATATTCACAGCATTTCCTATCCCAGAAGGGAGACTTAACATCAATGGAAGACTAACAGTGCTAATATAACCTAGTTAACACACCTAGGAATATGGTATAAAATACTCTTGAATTGACAATTCTAGAGTTTTGGTGATTAAGTAAGTTGCTATCCATGCAATTCATGCATTTTACAGGTGTGGAGGTAAGCAGAAACTATGTTGGCTGGCTGTTTATGATTTTTTTTGTCAGCTTCTTCCGGGACAGCAACAACAACAGAACATTACCCTTTCCGTGATCTCCATCTCTTCCCCTTGATATAGCAATTTCCATCACAGATGTTACAAATGTTATTATTTTTATTGTATTTGCATTGTAAATATATTTCACAAAGAATAAATAGTATTGAGGAAAGAAGGAAGAACTTTTTAGTTGGCGGCTGGCTGATTATTCTGTTAGTTGCATCTTTGACTGAGAACGTGGGAGTGTGGTGACTTCAAGCAAACACTGTCTGGAGGAGTTTCAGAGGACAGGCAAGCTATGGATTATTAGCTCATGCTCTGCTATGAAGCAGCTTTAAAAACAAAAAAGGACTAAACCATCTCTTGGGTTCAAGGGACAGAAACACATTGCATTCATTAATATATATTTACCTGTCAAGTAAAGTTTTATCTTCAAGTCTGGTGTAAGGCGTCTATTTTTTCTCAGATAGCTAACAACAAACCCTCTCTTGGGTTCAAGGGACAGAAATGCAGTATAGCTATCAATATCAATATCAATATCAATATCAATATATATGAATGTATAATACTTGTTGTTCAACTGTTGCCAACCTGACAAGTAATGATGCATCTTCATGTCTCGTGTAAGGCATCTATTCTACCGCAAATAGCTAAAAAAGTTGATATACTGTACCATACAGTCCCTACAAGAATAGGAATAAGAATAAGAATATGTTATTTATACTGCACTCATCTGGCTGGGTTTCCCCAACAACTTTGGGCGGCTTTCAACAGAAGATTAAGAGAAATTGATGAACTATGCAAAATTGGCGGCTTTCAAAAGAAGATTAAGAGAAATTGATGAACTATGCAAAATTGCAAAAACTGTGAGATAAGGACTACTGTGACTTTAAAGAAGAATGGGAACTTTTTTCAAATTACTTAAGAAGACAACAAAATGAATTGGAATCCTTGGCAGGTTTTAAATAAACATACACAAATTTATTGATTGATAACATGGTAGATAGATAATATTAGGATTTATACAATTTTATAATATGCAGAGAATAACATGTGTTGAGAAATCAGAGAGAGTAGCTGAGTAAAAGTCTTGGAGGGGAAGGGAGGGTTTGATGGGGGTAGGGGAAAAGGGAAAAATAATGAATATGATATGTTTTGATATTTTGTTATGTTGAAATTGTTAATAAAAAACTTTTTTAAAAAAATACATTAAAACATCAGTCATTAAAAACTTCCCGAAACAGGGCTTCCTTCAGATGTCTTCTAAATGTCACATAGTTTATTTCTTTAACATCTGATGAGAGGGTGTTCCACTACTGAGATCGGCCTCTGCCTGGTTTCCTGTAACTTCGCTTCTCACAGTGAGGGAACCACCAGAAGACCCTCAGAGCTGGACCTCAGTCTCCAGGTTGAACAAAGGGGGTGGAGACGCTCCTTCAGCTATACTGGGCCGAGGCCATTTAGGGCTTTAAAGGTCAGCACCAACACTTTGAATTGTGCTTGGTAACGTACCTGTCTGGTTTGAAATCTTCCCTTCTGGACATGGAGTACAATCATAGCAGCAAAATGGTTCCCCCTCTTTCCTTTGTCTGCTGCAACCTGGATGGCAGTAGTCATTACACAAGGCAAGGGGCACCACCTGCCCATAAAACAGAAGGTATTGCATGTATTTGATTATATTTTTGTTTGTTCTTTTCCTTTTCATCAACAGGGTTTTGCATTGAAATAATGCACTCGGAGGGTTTTTATTTTTATTATTATTAATTTGCACCACTATTTTTATAATGGTTGTTTCAATCACCAATATCTTTGCATATTCAAACCAATAAAAATATAGAGAGAGTCAAAGAATTGCAGCATCGGAGGTGACTCTGGGGATCATGTATTCCAACCCCCCGCAATGCAGGAATATACAGCTGTCCTATAAAGGCATCAAACCTGTGACCTTGGCATTACCAGCACCATGCTCTAACCAGCTGAGCCACTCAGGTACTAAACAGTTCAGGCAAATAAAATGTGCAAGCCAATGGACCTACTGATATATATTTCCTTTTAAAATACATTTATACAGATGAGAAATGGCAACTTGGTTCCTTAAAAAAAAAAGAATCACAGAATAAAAAATAAAGTTTCCTACGAAGCAAAGTTTGCTTTGCATGCTTTCTGTGCTTGTCGCATCTGGATGTTCTCATTCCAAAACATTTATTTAATGATTGAGTTTTAGCTCTCATTCCACATTAAGAAAAATGACATCTCAAACATGGCAACAGCAGAAATACAGTGGGTAGGCAGAGTTGTATGGGAACCAAGGGAATGATATTAATTTACAATTCCCTGACTCCTAAAAAGTTCTTCCACGGAATTCCTACAAAGGCTCTAACCCTTTGCTGCTAAGCACACCACACCAACTACCTTCCACTGGTCAACAGAGCTTGGTTCAACTAGAGAGTCTAGGTATTTCGACCAGTGAATGAGTTCAGAGTTGCAGGGTTTTAAACCCTGGAAACCAAGATCTCTACAGTGACATGTAAACAACCCATCCCTAACCATACAAAGAATCAATGCAGCTAAAAGGAACTCATTTGGCAGGGTGTACATGATTATGAAACAAATCTGGTGAATGTCGACCTATAGACCTCAGAAGCTGCAATTGGGTCCCACCTGGTTAAAACTCTGGTGCCATGTAATGATCTTCTCATCAATACAGAAATCACTGCCCAGTGGAGCTTGAGGATCCATCTTCCCAACTTTCACTCTTAAGAAGGACTTATTTGGGAAAGTAACCCAGTTGATAATATCAAATCCACCTTCTAGCTCACATTTCTCATTAAAAAAGACAGTGTCCCCGCACTGTTGTTAAGCAAGATATTCCTCAGGAAAGGTTGAAGCTACAGAGGAAGAAAGAGAACGGTAAATTGGGTAAAAATAGAGAACACACTACAAAGCTTCTGTTTTCTCATGCTGGGATCAATTCAGACTATTTGTTGAAGCTCCCCTTGAGTTTTCAGGGGAGACATACCTGCCCAGATTCCATTTTAGAAACTAATTTTGTATTTCGTAATTAAGAAGCATTTTTTACCTAGAGGTAGTAGCTGCCTTCATTCAATGTAAGTAAACATTTTTACTTTTACAAATTTGCCTGCTTTATTCTGAGCAACAGGTAAAAAATGAGGAAAGATCAGCAGAACACAAATAAACAGAGATAAAATATGTGCCTTGGTAATTCCTAGCTTCACAGCCTCCTTGCCATCTTTTTTCTGCCACACATGTTGGATAGGAGGTTTAAATTTTAATTTACAGATTTAATCCTCAATCCATATCCATCCACCTAAGTTCAACATTTCCATTCAACTCTTTTTAGCTCTTTTCAACTGCTAAAAACATTCAAGCATTGCAGTATTGGCAAACCATTTGACTTAAATTTGCCAGCATGCTTACATAGAATTTAATACAACAAAAGCTTTTGATCTGCTTATTGAATTTCACCAAACCAATGCAAGTTTGTATTCCTTGACAAACTATGTTAGCCATTACCTGGAAATATTGATTTTGAGGTCTCAGATAGTTACCAAGCACCGTCTCTCCCTGTTTGGTTCTGGGTGCCAACATGGCATGTAAAGCATGTGCCACAGCATAGACGGCATTGTAGATGCTGTAGCTTTGGCTGGTCATTTGCATTTCAAAAAAAGCCCCAGGAAGGCTCTCCAGCTTCTCTTCACCAGTGCAGGATTCCTCCTCCGTCTCCACATCTATAAATTGGCAACCAAATGCCTGTTGCCAGAACAACCTGATAAAGCCATCGGCCTCAGAGTGGGGATTTAGGTTCAGGAGGAAACGGTGGAACCCCTTGACCTCACTGGAATGAATCGCAAAGGATAAGGCACCATGGAAGTTTAGTACATCCAGATCTTTGGGGTATGGTTCCCATGAGAAATCCCAGTCGGCGGTCATAACCCACACTTTGTTTATGGGACTCATACTCATCATTCTACCTATCAGTAGCAGCCATTGCAAACCTGTCATGGTGTTTTTGTCTGCGTTGACAACAAATACATTGACGTTTGTTTTGCTTAGGTACTCCGACGTATTCTGACTTTTCTCTATCAACCCAGTATTATCAAAACCCCTGTGGGTTACGATTCTCTCAGTGACAGCTATACAGATGCCATTCTGGGAAAGCTGGTGTGTCAACTTTTTCACAAACGTTTCTCCTTTATCATCAGCTGTGACAAATATCCCAACCCACTTCCACTGGAAATAGAGAAGAAGCTGAACAATGCCAGTGTATTGATGTTCTTCACTGGGGGCCATTTGGTACAAGGAAGAAATATGGTCTTTTTCACTCTCTGCTGGAGTAAATGAAGAATAGGTGATCTAGCAAAGAACAGAGGGTTTTTAAATCACCAGGTAGGATATCTGTGTGTCCTTAGGTTTCTTATTCTTGCTGAATTCAATAACTTTCTGAATTTAAGGATTACTTTTGAATTTACTTTTGCCATGTTTTATAGGCAGTAGTGGCTGGTGGAGTGGGTCAGGGGAACTTATTTGGCCTCTTGGGACAAGAGTCTTTGTGATTTACAGGGAGGGCAAAAAGGAAGGGAGAGAGGTTTGAACAGTGCAAATGCATTGTGGTGAGTGCTGGATTGTATACATTAGGTGCATTTTCATCACACCAACCAAACTCTTCACCCCTACACCTTTCCCTCTGATTACGTCACACCAAAAATGGTGTTGGGAGACCGAGGCGTAGGAAGAAATTTCCCAGTGTGGAAAATTTCTTGTCACCCCCATTGATTTTTTGCCTGCAAAAATGGTTTTATGTTATTTCATATTTTCTTACAAAGGAAAACGGCCAGGTAAACAGATATGTTCATGGAGGAGGATCAAGATATTAACTGATATGCATAATGATCAGCTGGCAATTACTGACATGATTTTCTACAGATAACTAATTCATTACTGCAAATGGTTGAATTCTTTGTCACAGCATTTTCCTTGAGGCAGGGGCAGTGTTTAGCACAATCAGCTGGTGATTACTGACATGATTTTCTACAGATAACTATGTTATTTTTTTAAAAAAAGGAAGACTTATTTGTTTTAGCCCGCCAAAAACATTCTCCTTTCCTTCTCCCCCTCCCAATGCCCTGGGAATATACACTAAGGCTAAATCATATACAAGAGTTATGGAGTCTTCATTCCAGCCACACTCTTCCTACCTGTAGAATCTTATAAAGCTCCAAGATGGAGGCCATGTGGCTTGACGTTTCAGAGTCAAGGCCCCCAATGGCAGCTACCAGCTTCTTCTCAACACCACACTTGTAGTTGGGGATGGTTTTCCTATGATGAGAGATGAGGTTGAAAGTATTCCGAAAGTCATCTTTGCTTCACAGTAGCTGTCATAGATCTGGAACCCCAAAGTGATGTTGGATAAAATGTTGGGGTTCTTGTTGACCTCATTCACAGCAAAGACTAAGGAAAGGACATGCTGGTAGTTCTTTGGCACTGTGCTGAAACAATACAGAGATTATGCATGTGGTGTGTCTTCCTGCTTCTGCTGGACAGACCTCATGTTTTGAAAGTGAATAAACACACAAAGGCATTATCCCACAAGATTCAAATTTGAGGACATGCAATGAAACTGAATTTTGAAAGATCCAAGGGAGACAAAGAAAGTAAACACTTAGGTAAACTATGAATTTATTCGCACAAGAGTTAGTGATGGCCAACAATTTATGTGGCTTTAAATGAAGATTTGACTTTTGTAATGAGGATATAGCTATTAAGCACAGTGGCTATGTTCTCTCCCCCACCAGTGGAGGCACCATGCCTTTGAAGCACAGTTTCGGAGAATAGGAGCTGAGAAGACTGCTGTAATGCTCAGGACATGCTTGTGGGTTTCTCATGGCCATCTGGTTGGCCACTGTGAGATTACAGTGTAGGGCTATATGGGCCCTTGGCTGGAGTTAGCAGGGCCTTTCTTACATTTGCTAGTTCTCAGGAAGCATGAAATGTATGACACAACTGCTGAAGAGCAGAGTAGGAAAAAAGAAGGGGAAATATGGCTGCAGATGAAATATGAATTTCAAAGGATGTCAGTGTTTTGGTTTAAAAAACATTTCAGGAAATCTGAATTAGTTAGGTGTGCCTTTCAATGTAAATTGAGCTAATGTTCTCCCCTATTCCTACTTACGGACAGTCCAGGTGATGGTCCCATTTCATTGACTCTAGCTCAGTCTACTGATGGTCTGCCTGTCCTCTCTACTACAAATCCAACTAGCCACCTGCCAGCACTGAGGAGACTGATTTTTGACCATACTATCACGTTTATTATCAAATTTTTATTATGTACGTACATAACCAGAAGCTTTTATCCCCAAAGGAATAAAAATGATGTTCTTACACATATTCATCAGCAGGTGTTTCCTTTGGCTTTTCCTTGAAGTCTATTGAAGTGAAGACTGGTAAGAAGAACTGTGAAGTGATTCCACCAATAACAAAGTGCCCCGGCTGATAATACTGGTGTTGGACGTGGAAGAGGTCAATCACACAATGCAAAGCAGAGCATTATAAAAATAGAGAGGAACAGCATGAGTAGGGTCCAGAAGGGTAAACTTAACATCTTGAGATGTGGTGGTTCTCCTCTTAAAAATAAAGTACCTGTTTCAGTCTAAAATACTTATCATCACCCAGACCTTCTGTCCTGTTGCCCTCCAGCAGCTCTAATCTATGTTTATAAATAAATGGTAGAATAGCTGTCATTGGCACTGGGGTGGTTTTATAAGCATTCTGCTGTTTCTCTGTGGCATATGGGCTTCAAAATACCATATGGATACTGCTTGAGAAAGAATGAATTGCTTTGTTTTAAGATAATAACATGGTACACAGCCCCAGTGGGGTTGCTTGGTCTGTGGCACCATGTGCAGCAGAAGCATTGAACAAAATATGTTTTCCCCTTGAAAATATCTTATCTGTTTCATTGCAGATTGGGCAGAGCACCTGGTTTCAGGAAGATCTGAATGGGTGTGAAAATAATAGTGGATTAGCCAGGCCATGGGGAAATGGAAAGGCTGGTGTTCCATTATGCTCCAGAGAAGGAATGCTCCAAAGTATAGAAAATGCCTTGCATGAAAAAGTGGTCAGGTCCAGCATCTTGACTAACAAAAGAAGGAAGAAATAGTTCACTGAGAACTTGGCCAGTGTTAACATGTGGTTTTGTCGTTTTTTGCAAGTATGATGTCCATTCGCATTGAGCGCTGGCAGAAAAGGCCCTCTGTCTGTTTTCTGATACTGTAAACAGAACCAGGCACACCGATTGCAGTAATAACCTTTGTTGCTCAATAATCAAGGAGTCAGCACATGGCACATCTGTGAGATATGCTTGTCAGTTGCAGAAGCTAAAGTTCTGTCCTCTCTCCCACTCATTTATACCTCTGTCCTTGCATTTTTTTCACTGTGACTCAGCTTTCTAATTGTTCTAGCCTTTTCCCGTCCCTTCTTATCTAGCGCTGGGAGTGGAGCAGGGGAGGAGCTGAATCAGGACTGTATTGCAGAGCAGAAGAAACAACCCCTGCTCCTTCTCTTTCAGTACCTGCTGCTACCTCAAGCCTCTCCCCTTCACCCTGCTGATGATTCCTCTTTGTCCCATCAGTCTGACCTGGTTCAAAGTCCCCTTCGCCCTCAGGTGCCTCCTGGCTGCCACCACTCTTCCTCATCCAGCCAGTCCCTGACGCTCACTGTGTGCACTATCAGGACTTACATCAGAATATGCCTGGGTTCAGGATAAGGCCTCTTCTTGCCTACATGGGGGATTAAGTTTTCAGATCAAAGTGATCTGTAGGGGCAGCAGGTATAAAGGGGATATTTATTAAAACACCGAAGGAAAACCCAGGTCAGGGCTGCGTATCTTTAATAAAATGGTAATGTGGTGCAGGGGAGTGTGGGCAGTCCCAGAGCAGCTCAGAGTAAAGTGTGTGGCATGATAGAGGCAATGGCACATCCCCTCTTTAAGAGAACCTTTTTGGACCCAGAAGCTACGAGCCATAAACTATGACCCAGTGACAGGGGTGCTAAATGGGGGGTGGGGGCTACCCATGAAAAATTTCAAGGAAGGGGCAGGGCTCCCTCAACATTTCATGGCGACCATTGTGGCGCAAACCAAAGGGCATGCTAGCATCACCCCACTTTGCCATCGCAATTGAGGGGACCCGGGCATGTCAGCATGCTGTGACTCGTGCGGAAGCCATGGGGCGTCTGCATGACATCTCAACACACCCCACAGTGTGTGTAAGTGACTTCAGGACACCCATGGCATGTACGCATGGCCTGCTGACATCACACTGCCCAGGCACCCCCGATCACAGGGGCATGCCCATTGACAAATAACCCCTTTGCGGGCAAGATCTTGAGATTGTGGTGAAAGTCCTTTTCAGTCAAGGGGCAGGCCCCCTCAATGTAAACAGAGCCTTTGACAGGGATAAAAGACACAATACAACCAAGAAATATTTCACCTGTCCAGTGCCATGCATGTAGGACATAAACAGGATCACTTGCAATAAACTTGAAATTATGGAATTTGCACACCATATGAGAGAACAGCAGGGGACATGGGTGGCGCTGTGGGTTAAACCACAGAGCCTAGGACGTGCTGATCAGAAGGTCGGCAGTTCGTATCCCCAAGATGGGGTGAGCTCCCGTTGCTCATTCCCTGCTTCTGCCAACCTAGCAGTTCGAAAGCACGTCAAAGTGCAAGTAGATACATAGGCAAGTAGATACCGCTCTGGCGGGAAGGTAAACGGCATTTCCGTGCACTGCTCTGGTTCGCCAGAAGCGGCTTAGTCATGCTGGCCACATGACCTGGAAGCTGTATGCCAGCTCCCTCAGCCAATAAAGCGAGATGAGCGCCGCAACCCCAGAGTTGGTCATGACTGGACCTAATGGTCAGGGGTCCCTTTACCTTTACCTTTTATGAGAGAACAGAACTACCAGCACAAGCATTGCAAAGCTTGACAGTTGCTTTCACAAGACAGAATTAGAACTCAAAATAATCATAAGACATTGGAGAACTGGGCCCAAGTTATAAAATGAATTTCAATAAGGACAAACATAAGGTTCTGCACTTAGGCAGGAAGAACCAGATTCCCAAATATAAGATGGAGGAAACCTGGCTTAGTAGCAGTACATGGGCAAAGGATCTACGGGTCTTGGTAGACCACAAGTTTAACATGTTGAATGGGCTGTGTATGTTTAGTCATCATATGTTTAATATCTTTATAGTAAGTTTATATAATTTCCATCTTCAGATATCTCAAGGGCTGTCACAGGGAAGATGGAGCAAGCTTCTTTTCTGTTGCTCTGAAGGGTAGGACCCAAACCAA